TTTAATAGGGACACACTTTCTTATCATTATGCTTTTCTTTTATCATTACGTATTTCGTATTTCTATTATATTTTATATTAGTATTAAGACAATAAAATTAGTTTGACTGACCGCATAACAAGGAATATATCCAGAAGTTCAATAACAAATAGACGTAATCTACATGTTCAAAGTGTTTTTTAATTACTTTCAGCGAAATTTTAAGTAGTTTTTAAAGTCGAGACTTCCCGGGAATTCCCGGGAAGTCTCGGTCTCGGTCTCGGTCTCGAGAATTTGTCGAGACCGAGAAATCGAGAAAGCTTATAACAAATAAAATTTTGTTTTGTAAACGATGAAGCAACACGAATCACAACAGAAACAATATGAAAATGTAAATACAGGAGACACGAAAAATTGTTGACGTACGTTGCAGCACGACATTGATTTTCTTGCTTTTTACATGAAACTTTTTTTGCATTTTATTCATATGAAAATGAATTAAATTAAATTGTAATCATTCCAATATTTGTTGCTGAAGATGGTTTCCACAATGTTCTTGAAACTCCAAAAAAATGAAATATTAAAATTCAATTCGAGGATTAAAAACAGCTTAAATATTGTTATGAATGAAATAACTCCACATGATTAAAAATAATTCTGACAAGAGTTATTAAAAAATAATTATAGTAACAGTAAGCCAAGCACAAAGCTCGAGAAAAAATCAAGCTATTAAGAGCTTTCGACGTTCTCGTGTTTTCTTCTTTTCGTTTCATCTTCATAATAATCTCTTATTATAAGCATCGCTGATAATGTCATAAATTATGAATCTTTTTCCTTATTATTCTTCTTATTTTGACTCACGCAGAGAGGAAAATTTTATAAACAAATTATTCCCTCCGGATTTGACTGCCACAATATTAACATATTTTCTTACTCACTTCTTGTTCTTTTATGCTTTACAAATTCTACAAAACATTTTGATATAATATAATGTGAGATTTTGATGGGAAAGGTGTTCACTCTCTAAAGAGTATATATTGGCACATATGTATTTCATGCTAATGCAAATGCTAGAAAAGAAACACATATTGAATCAAGAGATGCTATAAATGACCATTTGCTTTTTTCACAAAGAGTTAAATTTCATAAAGTTTGAATTGTATTTAAATATGATAAATTTTGGATTCTCATAAAGCTTTGGTGACATCATAAATGTACAAAAATTGCAAATTAGTTTAAAAAAATTGGTAGAATATTTTATGTGACAGATGTTCAAAAATGTTTATTGATTCTACATTGTACTAAATCTATTTCCATTTTTTGTCCAAATGCTGTAAATATTGCGGTTATTTTGGTAAGGTAAAATGAGTATATGAGAAGAATGAATGATAGAAATATAATTGGGAGAATGAAATGTAAATATTTATCATTAGCTAGACTTGTGTAAGAAATCAAAGTCAAGGAAACTTAAGATGAACAATTTATAGAATTGATGTATAAAAAGTGAGCAATGTGCAAACATTTTGTGTTACTTGATCGGATACAAATGAACAGATCATTATAAAGTTTACTTTAAAATGTAATAAAATAATTGAAGTAAAAAGGCGGAGTCATTAAAAAATGGGAAAAAGTAAGTATTAGGTCTGTTATAAGAATTATTGGAGTTTCTTGGATAATAGCACCAAGTTCATTGTATAGAAAAATCGATAGCAAGAAAACCAATATTCACGAACTCTATGAATATTGCAGGCTTTATATTAATTACAAAATGTGTGTGAAAGTGAACGTGAAGCAGAAAAAGAGAGCAACCTTTTTGCATTGTAGGATTAGCATAATAATAATTTTAAATGAAAATGTGAAGAAATTTCAATTAATTAAAAGAACTATGAGTATGGAAAACTTTGAAATTGCGGGGAAATTTATTAAGGTCAACCACAAAACAAATGCTATTACCCTTGGTAATGATTTAAATTTTATGGCACATTTTATATATGAAATATTTATAGCTGGTACAGTATGAACTCAATTTCATTATTATTGTTTTTGTTAAGGTAGCTTAGACAGGAAAAGCTTCTATAGCTTAAATAAAAAACTTTCAATTTCTCGTTTCTTTTTCAAGTAGCACTCAAAATAATATTTTAATAAAATTACTATGTGCTAAGGACTTACGAAAACTGCTTTTTCTGCTGTTTAATAAATTTTATAATAAAATACCAATCTAATGATCCAATCCGAATTATCTAAGATATATACATACGATGAAACATTCCATCTGTATTGAAACAAAATGAAAATTTAAAATTTGTAAGATGAATGCTCCATCGATATTGATTTGCTGATTCTATACATAGTGTAAATAAAATATAAATATAAAATTATCAATTTCGTTTGATTGAAATTGATGTATATTTTAATGCTATAGAAATATTTTTTGTGCATACTCATCACGACGATAATAATATTAAACGTAATTTCTTTTGTTTGCATTTATTGAAATTGTATTTTCCATGTTTGAGTTTTCTGATTTTATCATCATGATGGAAATTTTTCAATTTATTTGTTCAATCATCGAATCTGACAATTAATAATTGACAATTAATAAAGAATATTTCGTTTATTCCTGAATTCGACCAATTTCAGGTTTTATTGCGACTATGATTTATGATAATAATGAGTTATATTGTTGACTATATTGTTGAAGGAATTATAAGTTTTGCATCTATTGATGAAAAATATATAAAGAAAATGATGAAATTTGTATAAAAAAAATGTCAACAAAATCAATAAGTTATGTGAGCTCTAGTTAAACAAGAACTATAAATAGATACAGATGCAAGCTTACAAAAGGAAAGGGAGAAAATGTCATAAACCATAATTAAATTTATGATATTCGTACATGACTCGAATCACTATCAATTCACTATATTGAAGTAACTTAAAATATGAGCATGTATGAGCATACATTTGATGCCACTAAATATTCATGAATCAAGCAGAAAATTTAATGAGTTTCAGGTTTTAAGCTTACGTTATTTTATTCTTACTTTCCGCTCATTTTGAACTAATTTCATGAACCGTAAATCAATCAATGGAAAGAGCATTAAGATTTATTGCTATCATTTTACCTCACAACTTAAGTCTATTTTCATGTTAAATCGGAATAACTAATCTTCTAGCTTAATTTATTTTTTTCACATATTTTTTTTTAATCTCTGAGGAAGAATAAACGCAAAATAAAACTGTGTGGCACTGTTTTAGATACGAGAATTCAAAAAAACTCATTATTGATGGCCATCATCAAAACTTTATGATTTATAACCTTCGAATCTTGCAAATGTCGACAAAATCTTAAATTTCATCAAGATAAAACACATTCCAATATTGAATTAGATTCTCCAATAACTCCATTGCAAACAACTGTTGAAATAACTTTACAAAATTCAATCCCAAATTTTTAATGCCAGCTGCTTCAAAAGATTAAAATTTGAAATCAACTGATGATTCAGTTATGACAAGTGAATGAAATCGATTTCCAACTTTTGGAAATTCTTCTAAACTTTATGTTGAGTTCCATTCAATGCTTGACATGAACAACATATTTTTTTTCATCCAAACAAACAAAAATTTCCATCAGCAACGATTTACAATAAATCCATTTCCTCCAATCTTTTGAAAAGCTTTAAAATTATTTTTTTTCCACATCTTTTTCTACGAAGTCGGATCAGTTTTTGACACGTTTGAAGAACGAAAAGTACATGTATGAAAGCAGAGTTGCGATACAGGTCGTCTGTCACGGTTAGAGGTGACAGATCTGGCATTATCTGTGACAAGCAATATTTATTTTGGGACTAAGTGCTTGTTAACAGGCGACCTGTTTCGCAACTCTGTATGAAAGTTACAAATGAATAAAAAAAAGAGTTGTTCACTTTTGACGTCTAAAATACACAATAAACTTTTATTTTTAATAAGTATAAGTCATAAGTGATCAACCCCTTACTTGTTAAGAATGTTACATTCAGACATTAAAAGATCTTCTTTTTTATATTTTGTCTTTGCAGATTTATCAATTCAAGTGAAACGTAACGTTAAAAAGCTTTAATGAAACAACAAAACATTATTCTCCTCTATTAAGTAATTGAAGAGAACGTAACAAAAAATATGTAATGTCAAAGCGTTTTCTTTTATTACGCACAATATTTTGTGAGTGACGAGAGTGTCGAGAACAATTGAGAATTCCCAACGTGTCAATTGATATGGAACAATCAAAAAGTGTGCTGTCCGAGGAAAAGATCAGAATTTGTGATATACTGGACGGTGGGAAAAGACAAATATTTACTCAAGAGCATAATTAAAGTACATTTCGTTATTCCTCCTTTTTTTCTCTCCTTATTTTCCTATTTCTCCCTTTTGCTGTTGTTTAATTTGAAATCCTTCAAGTGAATAAAGAAAAGAAAAAAGTTCAAACACGTAATGTACAAGATATTTTTGCTAGTACAATGGAAATGACGAATAAATAAAAAATCAGCAGGAGATATAGCAGCAGAAATAATGAGTAAAATAAAATAAAATGTGATTTATAATTTACTGAATGAGACCCTTGTATTATTTTGTTTGAATGTACACAAAGTGGAGACCAATGAGAAAGTGTACACACAATTTTCTATGAATATTAAATTGACAAATTGCAATTTCATTATAAGAAGAAGAAAAAAGAAAATAAAGAAGTGTAAATTAAGTGTCATTATGTGTTACAAAAGAGAAGCATTCTAATATACTTGTTCAAGTTGTTCATTTAAACATGAGCCAAAAAAGAAATTCAATCACAGCTTGATGTTGTTATCATTAGTGTTTGATGATACAAATTTTCCTATTACAATACTTGATTCAATTAAAAAGTTTGTCTTCGCTTATCGCACATTTTTCTGACATGTTATACGTTATGATCAAATGCAGATGTGGAGAAAAAAATTAAGTGTCATCGATGGATTAGTAATAGGATTTAGAAAGAAAGAGTGCAAAATAAAATAAATAAAAAATTTTATTTCACTGGATAATTATTCTGATCGGCTTAGTGACTTTGAACAAATGTGGCCTAGTAATAAAGATATTTTGATAGATCATTTCACGCGCTGAACATGCTCTTTTTGATAACATACTTTTTAGCCATTCATAGTGGATTAGCCGGTAAGTCTTATTTTTTATGAATTTTTAAACACATAGTAAAGTTCAAATTTTATAGCAGATGTGACTCTATATATACATACCCAGCACATACATAGCCAAGAAATTTATTTATATTAAAACCATCTAGTATGTTTCTCTTGATATATAATGCATCTGAAAATAAATTCATCGTGTGTCGTAAAGTATTTTCTCTTGTTTCCTTTCCTCATATAAAAATACACACATAAATTTATAACTTAAGTAGTGGTTTGAGCTTAACCTGAAGCTTTCATTTTATATAATAACAAAATATTCCATATGAGCATTTTGTATAGCTATCCATTCCTTTATGAAATTGTCCACAACAAAAGGTAGTGCAATAAGGATTTTTCACTGTTCCTTTTTTGATAAGGTTTCTTTTGCTTAAATTATAGAGAACAATCAAAGATTAGGTTCTAATATCATATCAAAGAAGCAATGCAGGACTAAAGGTTTCATTGTTATTTAATTAATTCGACATAAAGGTAATAAAAAAAAATAGAGACGCATCCTTTATAAAATTACTAAACAACAATCTGCTGTCCTCCTTCTTTTAATTTATTTCGTCAAAATCCTCAAGTTGACTAATGTAATCCCTTAGGCTTAAAGTTTACAACAGAGGAATTAAGTTCCCGTAATACTAATAAATTACAATTTCTTCTTACTATCCTCCCAGAAAATAGATATGTTGTGTATCCGTTAGTTCATTAGGCTTTATATCTTCTTATTTCATCATTTATGCTTCATTTAATGTAATATCAGATTTCCATGAAAGAAAAGAATCTAAATCATGTACTACACAACTCCAAAATAAAGAATTACTTGAAGCAAAAATATATACCGATACAGAAATTTAAACATTATACCCTAAAGGAATCGGAAACCATTGGAAGGAAATCTTCAATACAAAATTGTAAATAAATAAGTCATAAACCTATTGAATAATTGATTTTGAGCTTATCGATCCACACAGTTTGATATTCACACATAACATTTCAAGTTATATTCTATTCTCGTTAAAAAAATTGCATGCTGATTGTAAATATATTTAAGTTTGATAGGAACGATGACTTTTGGCATCATACTTAATTATTCATATTGAAATTCTATCCACAAGGACCACTTGCAAAAACTCGTAACTTCTCTGAAATTATTGCTTGACTCCACCATTTATTTTATCTCATACTTACTTATCTTAACTGCCCATTTTTACTTTTTATTCATCAGACAAGGTGATAAATGATCATTAAATTGAATCGAATGATTATCCTAATGGATTCATTATTATTTCATTATCTGAAGCTTTAATGACCATTATTAACCGATCATTCGTAACCTTTTTTTTTTTTTTAAATTAAACTTTTTATTTATTTACATTTAAATTTAAGTATGTACAAAGTTTCTATACATTTTGTTGCTTTTTGTTTTAAGGTTTCAGACATTCAATTTGCCTTTTGTCTCTTAATTTTGATTTCATTTACGGATTTTACTTTCTTTTGTATTTCATTTGATTTATTCGGTGTTTTGAGATGCAAGACGACTGTTGAAGTTCGCTTGCAACTTTCCGACGTAGTCTTCGATGGACGGTATTTTCGCTTCTGTATGAAGATCGGTGATCCTTTCATATCTTGTTTTATTGAGAACAATTCTCAAGAATTTGTTTTGCAGTACTTGAAGTTTTTGAAGATGGGTTTTTGCCATGCTTCCAAACGCTGGACAACCATATGTGAATATTGGTCTGATGGCTAGCTTGTAGATGAGAAGTTTGTTTCGTACGTCGAGTTGTGAGTTCCTGCTGATGAGCGGATAAAGCTGTCTTAATGCGGTGTGAGCCCTATTGGTCACATACTCCACATGCGGCTTTAATGTCACTCTCTTGTCGATCACCATTCCCAGATATTTAGCTTCTGTTTCCCATTTGATGTTTTCGTTGAGAAATTTGATGTTATTTCCTGGTAGTTGCCTGGAGTGCCTGTTTGTGATGAATAAGGCTTGAGTCTTCTGTTTGTTGAGGTTGATCTTCCATTTGTTCATGTATTGTTGAACTTTTCTTCCTGTGTGCTGTAGATATGTCACAATATCAGCCGAGTTCTCTGCAGAATGATACAGTGCTGTATCATCTGCGAAAAGACCGATGTTGTTGGTTGTCTCTCTTACAACATCATACGTGAAGATGTTGTAGAGAGTTGGTGAAAGCACTGCTCCTTGTGGCACTGATTACCTTGATTTCTGAGAACTGACCTTTAATAAAAACTGCGAAAGATCTTTCACTGAGGAAAGATCTTACAGTTTTTATAAGTGGCAGTGGAAATCTCAGTTTGAGCATTTTGTACAAGAGTCCGTTATGCCAGACTCTGTCAAATGCTTTTTCTACATCCAGGAAGATCATGCCTGTTGACTTTTTGTTGTTTAAGTTTTCTTTTGCTGATTTGATCACTTTGATGAGCTGGTGAGATGTTGATCTTCCAGTCCGGAAGCCGCACTGCTGGTTTGGGATGATGTTGTTATCCTCAAGATGATCGTTGATTCTATTCAGTAATACTCTCTCCAGTATTTTGCTTATTGAGCTGAGTAGACTTATTGGCCTGTAGCTGCTTAGCTCATTTGCTGGTTTTCCAGGTTTTGGAATAGGAATCACTTTTGCATGTTTCCAAACTTTGGGGAAGTGGTTGAGTTTCAGACACGAATTGATGATGAATTTCAAGTATTCGAAACCTTTTTCAGGAAGATTTTTGATGAGTATGTTGTTGACTTCATCTAGTCCCGGAGCTTTTGGATTTTTCAGATTTCTTATGATGCTCACGATTTCGTTTACATCTGTTAGTTCTGGATTCTCATCATTGTCTTGTTCCAATGCTTCTTTGACTGTGTTGTTTACTTCCTGTGTATGTTGTGGATCGTTTTGTTCCAGAGGATTTTCGTGAGCTTCACGAAAATACTCGCTGAGTGCGCTGGCTTTTTCTTTGTTGGTGATGAACGTTTTACCCAGATTTGTCAATGGAGGCATTGTTTTTGAACCTTTTTTGCAAAATTTTGCTATTCTCCAAACTGTTTGGTTTGACGGTTGAATCTCTGAGAGACGCTTATTCCAGTTTTTGTTTTTGAGTTCTTTAATTTTCTCATTGATGACTCTCTGCAGATAATTCAATTCAGATTTGAGTTGATTATCTCTGCTTCTCTGCCATCTTCGACGAAGACTCCTTTTTGTGTTGATTAGATCTTTAATCTCCGGTGTGAGTTTAGTTGATTCGAACTTGATCTTTTTCATTTTTACACTTGAGTTCCTCGCTTCCATGATGAGTTCAGATAGAATCTTAATGTGATTCTCGATCTCATCTGTTGTATTGCAAGAATTTTCTCCAATGTTGTCTTCAATGCGGCGTGAAATTTGTGCTTTGAACTTTTTCCAGTTTGCGTTTTTGTAGTCATATCTGTAGACTGTATTTTCAGTTCTGTCGATTTTTGATGTTTTGATTTGGAAATACACAGCGCAGTGATCACTCATTGCCTCTGTGCATTGAAGTTCTGTTGTTTCGAGGTTGGAATTCGAGAGCATCAGGTCAATTGTTGACACTGATTTGTTTCGATCTTCTGGGTAGTACGTTGGCGAGTCAGGAAAGTAGATCATGAACTCTCCTGACATTTCCTGAAGAATATTTCCTGATTTATTTGCAACGTTGCAGTTCCATTCTCGATGTTTTGCATTGAAGTCTCCACAGATGTAGTAATTTCCTCTCAGATTTGTTATTTTGTTGATGTCATCTCTCAGATGTAGATCTATTTCCCCTCCTTTGCTTCCTCCTGGGAGATAGACTGAGAGGATGTGACAACTATCCGTGTCATTGATGAAGACTTTGATTCCAATGCATTCCATTAGTTTTGTGTTGTAGCTTGGTTGAAGCTGATGTTTTAGATTTCTTTTGACGATGATTGCAACACCACCCTTTGGTCTATCCACGCGATCCAATCGATGAATTACGTAGTCTGGATGCGAGTCAATTTTTGAGTTTGGTTTTAGGAATGTTTCTGAGATGCAAGCAACATCGACGTTTTGCTTGCTTAGGTAGTCGAGAAATGCTAACATTTTGTCAGTGAGGCCGTTAGCATTCCAGTAGAGGACGTTGATACTTTGTTGTCTACAATCCATTATTGTATGCGGTGTTTTTGGCACTTGAGCCGATTGCTTGGAGTATTTCGTCGATGAACTCTGGATTTTTGGCGATTAATTTGAGAAGCTCGCTGATAAGGTACTTGCACTTTGATTCCTCTATTTCTGAGATGTTTTTATCTCTTGTGCTGGTGCTTTGAGCTTGTTGATTAGTTGTTATGTTTCGATTCACTACCTCAACACTGAATGAAGGTTCTGGGAAGACTTCATTCGAGGTCTGACTTGTTGCACTGATGTCTTCTGAGTCCATAAGCTCAACATCTTGCTTTGGTTTTTGATGTTGATTGTTATTAATGCGCTCGTTTTGCTTTTTTCTTTGATTCTTTTTCCAATGTTTTCCTCTTTCTTTATTGTTTTGTTGGTTGTTCAAGTTATTTTTATTTCCCTGATTTGAGGGTTTGTGATTTGGAGGAGGATTTGTGTTCCTTGGTTTGTGGTTGACTGGAACTTGTTTTTGATGAACAGGCTTTTGTGTACCAGATGTTGATGGTTCCATATACTCCTTTCTCCATTGAGGTTTTGGTGCATGTTGGACGTTTCTGGTTGATCTCTCAGGACGATGCGGTGTTGGAGGATTGTTTCTCCGTTGTCCATATGAATAATGGCCTGCTGTTTTGTTTTGATTTTGGTTGTTTCCATTCTGTGATTTTGATTTCCATTTTTCAATTATTTCTTGTCTGGTTTTACAACCTGTGAAAATTGCTGTATGTTTTTCACCGCAGAAGAAACATTTGAGTTTTCCGAGTGGAACCTTGTTGGTCTCTTTCGATATGTACTGGCACGTTTTCGAGTCATGTTGCTCAGAGCATCTGAAGCAAACGGACGGTTTGTTACAACCGTTTTGTCCATGACCAAACTGCAGACATTTCGAACATTGAGATGGACCAGCTTGTCTATTTTTGTAGTCAGCCCATTTAATTTTGAAACTGCTGACAATTTTGATTTTTCTGAGGAATTCCAGGAAATTTCCACCTTGTTCTACATCTTTTTTGAAGTACACGAGGTAGTTCTGGTCGTCGTCTTGTTCGTGTCTTTTGTGTTTCATTGTCATTTTGACAATTTTTACTGGTGTGATTTTTACGGTTTGAAGTTCCTTCTCCAACTCACTGATTTCCATATCTGGGAGACCATAGAGTACGTACTTCTTCAGTGGTTCTTGGCTGGAGTATGTGTGGAAGTGATGCTTTTTGTCTTTGAGTAGTTGGATGAATTTCTCGTAGTAATCCCAACTCTCCGTTGTTACCGTTTTTGTTCCTTGTTTGCCCTTTTTGGTCTCAATTAAGAAACTTCCAGGTTGATTGTTTATTTCATTCGTCAATCTCTTGATTTCACCAGCTCCTCCTGTGCTGATGACAATTGGAGGTGGTTTTGATTTTTGTTGAGATTTGTTGTTGTTGCTTTCCGTGTTTACGGAAATTGTCTTTTGTTGCTCTGATGTTTTGCTGTTTTCTCCCCAGTACGAAGAAGTTGTCGATCTTTTTTTCTCCTGTTCTGGTGAACCAAATAGATACGGTTTTCCAGAAGACGAAGCTTTCTTCATTGGTGGGAGTACGAACAGTGGTTTGTTTCCATCTTTTGGTTTGCTTTCGTTTGCTACTCTTTTTAAAAGAGCGTTGTGAACTATCACTTCTCGAGGGCGTTTTTCTGCTTTACTTGCTTCATTGAGAAACTTCTTTATTGATATTTGTTTTTTTGGTTTGAGATTTGTCATCTCAATGTCGGCTGCTTGTGAAACATCTTCACTGAAAATTTCCTCAATATTGAGAATTGTCACTGAAGATGAGTGTTGTTGTTGAGAACTATTAAGTCCATGCTGATTTTGAGAAAGATTTTCTTCGTTGTTGGTAGTTTTTGGTGATGCTACCATTTTGATGTTTTGAGAATCAAACTGAGATTTTGAAACTTTTTGCAAACAAAAAGCTTCTCAGGTAGTCTCTGTTTTGTTTCTTTTGAGATTTTTGAATAATTTGCGGAGCGATTTGTAAACACGTCTGTTCACGTTGAGATCTAGTTTGCAACTGGATCATTCGTAACCAGTGTCGAACAATTCTTTTTATAAAGGCTCATAAATAAACGACAGCTAATTTACGAAACTTTATTTAAGTCAATAGCTTAATCATTAAACTTTCAATCCATTCGGTACCAATGTGAAGAACAAAATCGATAAGCGTTTTGAAAAGTTTTCTTTTAGAGTAAACCTTCACATCAATTTAAATTCAATGTTTAAAGCTTCACGTCATTGAAGCGGCAAATCTCAAGTTTTTTCAACGGTATTTTTACAATAAAAAGTTTTTACTTTTCAAACATCTATTTTATATTTTATGCTATAAACAAATTGGTATTGTATACTTTTCACGGAAGAGTTTATTCTGCTTAAATGAACTTTTTAGAAACAGAATATTGATTTAATGAAGACTGCGATGTTGACTGTATTAAAATTGTAACTGCAAACTTTGAGAGAATGACATTTTCTGCATAATTTTAAATTCAGCCAGTTCTTCACTTTAATTCCAAAAACAAATTCAGTTTAAGGTATGAAAATGTTAGGAATTATCTTTAAAATTGTTAACTATGGACATAGCATTAATCTAGTATTTAGATTAACAATCACAAACAAAACCAAATTCCAATCATAAGAGCATGGCAATGAGATTAGGCTGAATATTATCAAAGTTTTATTAAAAAAGTTTCTTAAAATTAAAAGATTTAATAAAAACAAACATCTTGAATTTTGGATGGAACTTACTAAGATACAGCTTTTGTTATTTGCCGAAAACAATTCATCTTTTCTTTGTTTTTCATCTTCACATCTTTTGGAGTCACTTTATACATCCTTATAAAGTGAAGATTACATTCTTTCTACATTGCACGTTATTGCTTCCGTTATACCCATGCTCCCTTTTCTTTTGAGACTTTTGTTGCTTTTTTTGGTGATGTATGAAAGAAAAGTTTAAGGTACATATCATAGGAATGCGAAGGAAAGATTCATGAAGCATTAATTTTTTTTAAAGAAACAAGAAAAATCCTTATGTGTGTTTTTACTTTTTGATAAAATTGCATAGCTTAATCTTACGAGAACAATAAGATATTTCTGATGGTACTATTCTTTGTGTGCTTATTTTATCAGTCCAAGAGCATTATATCAAGAAAACAAGCTATCCATCTGCAATCCAAAGGCACCAAAATAAAATTGAACTATATAATCTAATTTTTTCAGGTTCTATTCCTGCGGCTCCAGAAAATATTACAGTGACATTTATTAATCCAACATCAGTTCGTGTAAGCTGGCAACAACCAATGGATACTGCATATCCAATTGAAAAATATGATGTAACTTATAAGCCAACAGATGCAAGGTAACCCAAAAAACCCATCCTTTTATGCTTCTTATTTTCTTTTGTGGTAGAAATTATGCTTTGTACGTTTTCATGTTGAAGAGAATCATTAAAAATGCCATTAAATATGACATAAAAATCATGCTAATAAAATTTTGCGCAACATCAATTATAATTAAATTGTCAAATGATGCATGTTATAATTTCAAAAAAAAAAATAAAAAATTTATCAGCAAAACAGGTCCTAATGAATTCCATATTTACGTTCAAAAAATTATTTAAAAGACGCTTCTTCTGCTTTATCATCCAACCAACGATAAATGACACATTAATTGAGGTTAAATTTAAACGTAATGGACAGAAAAAAATGGCAGCAATATTGTTGTCCTGTTTATACTCAAAGGAATAATAAAATAATCTCGTTAATGTTCATAGATAAATAAAAAGGAATAGACGATGAAACAAGGCTGTAAAAATGCATATAATTGATAAGATAGTGTTTAATACCCATGCGACTTTTTATTTATTATCCACCTTACAACATGCTCATACACATGTATGAGAATAAAAAATATGACAGATTGTAATCCACAAACAACACATGTATTATGTATTTAAATTTTAACTTTAGAGTATTGAAAATCGTAATAATTTTATGCTCAATTCATAAAGCTTTAATCTGTAAGAATGAAATATAAAACGAAATTTGCATTAACCATATCAAGCGTTTTGCTAAAATTTTAATTCTGCATTATGCAAAATCCACAATGACACATTTGTTTCTTTCAATGCTGCCAACAAGCTCAAAATAAATAGAAGCAAATAAGCATGAAAATATAGGGTTCGCTAAAAGCTTAGGAAAATAAAATGAAAATTTTACAATTATTGCACCATTGTTCTATTTCATACAAAACTGTGAACATGAACAATATGGTCTTTCATTCTTTATTTGTATAAATGCGTAGGACATCATGGTTGACGATTGTGTCTGATGATGTCAGTACAAATGATATAAGACAATGAACTTTTCCATTCTTTTCAAATACACACATACAAGTGCAACTCATGCTATTAAGCTTATTGCCGTCGAGTACAATTTTGTTGCTTTGTGGTTTCATTTAACATTATTTGGTTCATAAAAGAAAGTAAAACATAATTTTTGTGTATCATATTCCAACAAATTCCCTTTCGAAATGTATTCAGCACAACATGTACGTTACTAAAATAAATTAGCGCATAAAAAGTTCAATATTATTGTACTTAAATACTATCCAGCAACTGTTTATTGATTGTCTATCAACCTGTCTAAGCGCATCCGTTAGAACATTAACAAATTGATTTCCGATTTTCAATCAACATCAATCGACATTTGCATGTGAAATAAAAAAATATTAGTTTCGATTATTTTTTTAACTGAAATGAAGTCAGTTATTTGTTGAATTATTGTTGACATGATAAAATGTGGACACAGTTAAAGTTCACAAGAATGTTAAGAAAGTTACAATTTTATTTCTAAAAAGCTGACTAAAGCAAGAAATAAGATGAATGTGCTGCGCTCCATGATACCACAATAGCTAAAACCTTATACTGTATAGAACTATTTGAATAAAAATGTATATTCATGGCTAGAGGGAATTGATAATGTTACAAATGTGTATGTAAAAATCCTTATGTATACCAATGTATACACATAAATAAAAAATGATTGTTTACTTGAATTTACATTTGTTCATAACATCAACAACAAAATTATTTTAAGGTATATAAATAAAATTATTCTCTGTTTGTAAGGATTTACTACCCTTCTTAACAATCCTTAAAATGCGTTTAATTTTTTTTCTTTTTTTGACTTCTTCTTCTTCCAATATTGACGATGGTCAGTGACATTATATTAACCTTGATATAATGCTTTTTGTCCTGCTATTACTCCCTGTTTTGATCATTACGTTATAAAAAATAAAATTGTATTGAAATCATCAAATCGATTCTTGATGGCTTTCAAATTGATATTAGTGTCACAAGTGAATTATCTATGTAGAATAGAATGTAATGTAGGGTTTTGCTAATAGCAAAAGCGGCACTGTGATCGATGATCTGTTGTACCATTATCTATGTAAATAGTCATACATTTCTTTTAGACTATATAAGAGTTTTTAACAGTATTTACATGAAATTTTCATTAACGTGAATTTCTTGCATTTAATTTGAACATAGATGACGAATTTCCAGCAAAATCAAGCATATTTTTCCTATAATTCCTTCATTTTTGCCAATTTGTAATGATCGATCATATTTTAAAATAAAAAATTTCTGTCAAAAGCAGTTCATGACTTGCAAGCTCTGCTTCATAAATCCCCATCTTTTTCTAGTCTACTGATTTTTCAGAAACAAATCAGAATTTGACTGATTTTTTATAAATGTTGAAAGTCCAAAACAGTCGAATGCAATCGAATACGGGTCAGATATACTTTTTCTGTACATCAACATATGAATTACACATGTGTCGACATAGTTTTTAATCAAGATAATAAATTACCTCAATTAGATTTAAGTTCATAGTAATTAGAGATTTTTCACTTGTAATTTTTAATTAAAATCTTCTTCCTCGTCCTAATTGGCTATTTTTTTTATAAAATAAATTTCTCACATTCTGAACTCTTCCTTCAACCTATTCATTGTATACGATATAAACCTGATTTCTTTACAATGCAAAAAATTTCATGCCACGATGAAAACAATGGTGAAGTAATACGTGACGTTATGAAAATTGCTTTATTCTCGAGATAATACATCTGTACTGAAAAATCATACAAGATGAACGATGGCGTAGTGAGTAAGGAAAAATGTGGAACTGAATGTAACAACATAATTGAGAAATTCCCAACAAGAATTATAATTTATTGCTGTATCCTGTACTCTCTCTGCTTCATTCTTTTTTCTGCTTCTTAGATATAACTCGTATGAAGTGATTTGCTTAAAAAAAATAAATTGTTCTAAAGGAGTTATGAGTGGGGATCATAACTAATATATATTGTTAAAAGCTCACTCTGTAGCTCACAAGTTATGAATTCCTATTCTCTTCTTTGATTGTCATAAAATAGAACATGAGCTTTCATTTTCGTGAATAGTCATCCTTATAATAACCAATGAAAGAAATCTATGAAAATCTCTTGAAACAGATTCTTTTGTGCCATTTTTTAAACAACGTGAAATATATATTTTCAAATCCCTTTGGAACGATGCTATTGATGATGATGATGATGCCGATGCTGGCAATGACAAAAGCACTTAAAAGTTTCACGTGATAGAAAAAGGAACTGAATGTATGAAGTTATTTTGTAATGTGAAAAGAACTCTATCATATGGAACAGAGGTAGTCACAAAATCCCCAAATAACTATCATGACTTGCACTCAGCTAGACTGTTATATAGGTTAAGTAAAGTACATAATATAATTTAAGGTTTATCGTTCTTTTTTTTACTTTTTAACGTTGTAGTATCATGATGTATTTAAAAACATTAGAAGCTAAAACACATTTTTATATGAATGACGTGTTACGGACATTTTACAGAGCATTGCAATGACATTGATCATTACCCAAAAAGCTTTCATAAACTCTGAATCGAAAACAGAGACAGAAATTTTATTATGATTGTGTGACTAACTTATGTATACTTTTTTGAATCACGAGATACCACGTGCAATGCACTTGACATTTAAACATCTTTTTCTTCATATTCAAAACGCGTTATGATAAATGTGAGTGCTGTTCTATGTTTGAGAAATCGAAATGTTCATATATAAAATGTGCTTTTTAAAATTTTTACAATTATTTCAATTACTCGTCTCGTTACCCAATTTTTGAACAATCGAGTATGTTTTCTTTCCTTTTCCGCTTCAAATATGCTTATTCATTCTCTACCTTCAGCCTTCAAGGCATGCAATGTTTTGAAAGGAGCACAGAACAATAAAAAAATTACTTATATATTCGCTTCTGTATAGATTTTAATTATATAAAAGCTTTTTGGAATTCCCTTAAGTAAGTTACTAAACATTTAATCGCTTTCTAACATGTTTTTAAAGTGTATATTTATTTCAAGTCATTTTACCTGTAGTTATTTTATTTTTGAAGCCTACAGTCAGCAGAAACTAAGAAGATATCATCTTGAAATCTGCTTCAAGTTCTGTGAATATATTTTCTTCTATTAAATTCAACTTCTAAAGTCGTCTTTTATATATTCTAAGTTTAAAATTGAACTTTAATTGGAAAAAGCTAAAATCTTGTTGTCCTTAAGGGATTTAAAAGATGCCCAAAGATATTAAAGAGCGAACAAGGCTTGTTGTTTAAAGAATGTTTTAGATTATAAAACCTTTTGCCAAGGCCAGTTTTTAAGTATTATGCTTCAGGTTAAAAGTCTGTCTCCGACGACGATTCAATTGTTTTGATTATGGTTTTGCCCTTTTTTTAAAGAATGCTTCTAACAATTCACAAATTATTCAACCATTAATTTTATCAATATAAGAACAGTAAAACTTAGGAAAAAACTTCTAAAATTATGAGAGAATAAATAAATAGTTTAATATCCGAACTATCCACGTAATGTTCATTTTAAAAATAAGATGACCAAAGATCTAATCGAGGGGATCTAAGATAATTTTCAAAGAAAAGTTCTAATTAAATCTTTAAAAATTTGTTCCTATTCACTTCTATATTTCTGTCAATACTTGTTGTTTAAATTTCTTTAAAGCTGTCCTGTATTTTTACAGTAAAGATAGTCTCTTTTAAATAAAAAAAGATGTTATAGTCGAGAGCTTTTTAGTAATCGATTTCAACCAATGATTGCCAAACACATGGCGTTTTTCCCTAGCTATAATTTTATGTATAAATAAGTGGATATGTACGAACAAAGTATAAGTTAAAACATATATGTACAAAACCATAGATAGGAACAGAAATAAACAAGTTTAAAAGTATATCTAACAATCAAGTAAAGGCGCATTTTATTTGTTTTATGATAATTGAATTTGCTGGAGTTCATTATTCAAAATTATCTTAGGAAAATCTAGTTTTAAATTTCTTGTTTCAATAGGTATACAAGAAAAAAAAAGTTTTTTTCTCAAATTCGTTGTTTTAGTACTGGACAAGAGCAGAAAAAATATTTTAGAATTTCCTCACATTGGAGAAATAGATAATCCTAAAATGAGGATTATCCACTTTAGCGAAATCGGTTGATAATTATTATCAACGACAGCCAGGCATTTTTTAAAACTATAAGCCCTGCTATAAGCCTTTCAAACTTGAAAACTATGAAAGCATTCACGAAAAAAGACGATTGTAAATAAAAGATTTAAGCGTTTACTGACTTTTACATTAAAATAAATTGCTTTAATGTTACATTTTTAGTAACAAAATAGCTTTTGACAAATGAAGATATCAAAGAAGTGCTCATAGTGAATAAGATTTAAAAAGATTTCAATTATTTTATATAAAGATCCCAGAAAATTATTAGGAGCTTTTTAAATTAAGTTTTTTTTTCGAGCTTAAAAACATCAAAACCTTGAAAGGTATGAAAAAAGATGAAAGAAACAAAACAAAAAGAAAAAAATTAAAGAATTTCCTGTGAAGTGAGGTTTGAAGTTTTTTTTTCGTGCTTTAAAAGTAAAAAAAAGCCTGATTGATTGAAATGGTAAAACTTGCTGAAATCTATTAAAGTTTCCAAAAAATGTTGAGCTTTAAAAGTAATTCCTTCTTTATAAGACGCCGTTCACTTATTACGTTCGCATTTTAAGGGGGAGGGGGGTTTGAAAAATTGTAACAAAATGTAACATAGGGGGGGGTGTCAAGAAGTATGTAACGTTCTAGCTGTCGTCTGTCTTTTAAACATTTTTTTTAATTTTTTTTTAAATTTTCCACCTTATTAATGATTTATGAATGTCCAGATCACTTTTGATAGCTAAGCAATACATAGTTTTTGTTATATAAAGTAACAAATCAATAGAAAACTGGTTTACAAGACTAATACCTATAAAAAATTATCAAAATAAAATAAATTATGAACATTCAGGGGGGGGGGGGGGTGGTGAGTTGTAACATATTGTAACAAGGGGGGGGGGTGAAAAAAGTCGTTTTTTTGCGAAACGTAATAAGTGAACGGCTCCTAAAGTATATAGTGAGATTTTTTTTGAAAATAGATGCATTACTTCGTTCTGTTCAATTAGCAATGCCTAGCTTGAAACTTTTCGATATATGATGACAATAATAGCACAAATGTTAATAAAGCAAAAAATATGATGACTTCCTTTTGCAATTCAACTTAAACCTCATAGGATTGACCTTTCATCAAATTTTATTGAATATTTTCATTTCATTTCCAATATCCTTTTTCGAGCACAGAGCGTTCGATGTACTAAAATATTCAATGAGTTACCTTCTTGAATCTATACAGGCAGTTTCATGAAAGTACAATTATGATATGAAATGTTTATAAGCGATTTCCTCTAATTCCCAGGTGAAAAACACAAGTGAGTCATAATTTTTATGTTCACATTCGAATTCTTTTACTTCCTTATTTTGCTTATCAAAATAACTTCGACGCAGTTCATACAGTAGAAATTTTCATTGTCATGGATTCAGTATTGTAATAAAAAGGGAGACATTTTATACTTTAAGAATGTTTTGGAGCGTAGCTGCTTTCACTTCGACAATTCATTTCATGTAGCTATCGTATGTTGGTGACGAAAATTATATTTTTGCCACCTGTAAAATAAGTATTTGAATAAAACTGATTTTATACATATAAATTTATTTATTTTTTATTTTTGGGATCTGCTTGATACAATGAACCACAAGAGATATAAAATCATGGCACATAATTTGCAAGTGATTTGTAGAACTGTTCATGAATTGAAGAAATAAGTTTCCATCTTGAACAAAGAAAAGACGTTCAATTTTTCATATTTTCCTTTCTATATTTGTACGCTTTTGAGAAGAATGAATAATTTAAAGCTTTTTGCTGTGCATATTGCATGAGCGAAACTTTCGGTTTCTGTTTTACTTTCCATTAATGTTTTGTATCTATACCTTTAAATTTTTTCTGAATATTAGTATACTTGAAGAAAATTAATTATAAAACTAAAGTGTTGTCGTATATTTTCACAAGATTTAACGATGTAACAAAGCTTCCATGTATAAACATGTAAGATAGCACAATGAATTAATGTCAACAGAAACCTTAAAGGCATTACATTGTACCCCGGACAACATAAAACCATGAAAACATAAAGTTCACGTATTTGTCAGTAACTTAGTCTGTTTTTGTTTTAAATTGAATAAGATGAAGCCACACACAGAAATATTTTTGTAGATACCTCGAAGGCTTCAGACGCATTAAGCCCGTTCAAATGTGTTTAAACGTTGACAAACAAATTAAGAGAAGATATTTTGTGGATTTTTGTATTCATAATAACATAAAAATATTTTTAAAAATTTTTTTTTGAAACTTTAATTCTATTACTGGGGGTCTTCGATTTGAGTAGGTGTTTTATTCCAGAAAAATCCTTTTCAAATCGAATCTACTGAAATCGTATTATTTACTTTTTGTATGAGAAATGTCCGTTACAAAATTTTTTTTTTAAATTTTCTATTCATTAATTTTCGTTACTCAAATCGAACCTATTCAAATCGAATCTACTCAAATCGAGGACCCATGGTATATAATTTTTATCCATATCAAGTGTTCTGTGATGAACTATAATAAAAGAATATAATCATCATGATAATATTTTTTTCTTGATGATGGCGATGACAAGAAAAGAATTGCTACAAATTTGACAAACAAAAAGAACGTGATAAGCTTTCAGTTTTTTGTTTTCATATAAAATATAAATTATTGTTGACTGAAAGAAGAGAAATTTAATTAAATAAAATCAATGCAATAGAACTAAGGTTTTGCTAACGAGATTGATATTATACAGCTTTCATTTTTCTGATTAAATGTAAAATAGATTTTTTTTTGCTCTAAAACATGCATAGTTTGAAGCAGAGGGCGAAGTCGACTCGAAATTTGAAGAAGTCGAGTGAACTCAAGTCGACTTTTCCATACAAAATCCGAGTCGACTTCGCCCTCTGGTTTGAAGTTTTTACACGCTTTTTTTTTCCTTTGCCTTTAACTGTTTTTGAACAATGCATTTTTCAAAGCATTTTATTAAAATTAAAGGTTTGAACAAAAAGTTTCAACATAAAAGCTTGTTTTGAAGCAAGATTTCGTTTATGTTTTGAAAAGTAAGGAGAGAATCGAAAAAATAATTAACACATTGAACATTAATACTCATGGTTTTAATCTTCTGTGTAATTAAGCTTCCTTGTTGACCTATATTCAAATTATTGAGTCCAAATTTCTTCACCCAAAAATTAAATCTTATTATTATTTGAAAAAATCGAAATAAGAAATAGAAAAAAAAAAAAATTTTGTGGCACGGTCTGGCTACGTAAGTCGTGTTTTTCTTGTTTCTTGTTTTCTCCCCTTATTTATTTTTATTAAAAATCGTACTTTGACACAATATTTCATTAAGTTTACTGTCAGTCCTTTTTATCTCTTGTCTCGTTATTTCAGCAATTATAAAAAAATCACCCGTATTCTCAATGTAATTAAGCTGTCATAGTTTCTCTTAACACTTGTCGTTCTCTGGATTTAACAAAATATATGTCTGTATATTTAACGGGTTTTAATTAATTACGCTTAATTAACAAAGCAAATCCTTATAATCCATTAAAAATTGTTTATTCTGTAAGTCACGTTTATTCCAAGGCTCCCGGAGATTATAATATTTTAAAAACAAAGATTATGATATTTAAATCTTTAAAACTATTTATTTGCTTTAATGTAACGTAATGTCAGACCAAAATTGACGAAATTTTTCTGATTAAATGTAAAAGAGATTTTGTTGCTCCAAAACAAACATAGTTTGAAGTTTTTTTTCCTTTGACTTTATAAATTAACTTGGCTATTAAATATAAACGTTTTATAATTCCTTTGATATTTAAAGTCTTAATTATCAAAACTCGTTAAATGTTAACAAAACTTCTGCTTACGAATTAAGAACTGACCATAATTATCAAAAAGAATTTTTATTTTTCATATAATTTCGTGAATCAGAATAATTTAAATAAGGTTTAAAAAATTGATATACCTAAATGATCTTGTTTTAATATATAAAGGAAGATTCAGAAAGCTTTCCTTAAATTTACAAACAAAGAACGAAATAAAACATTCTACTGAATGGATGTGAAGTAGATGTAGTACAGTCTCGAACTTCATGTCTGAACTCATTAAAAGTTTGCTGTCTGCTTGTGGCTTTGATGGATAAAAATGTTAGGGAACTGACATTTTTTAAAATTTTACTCTCTTGATGTGACTATTAAATAAGATTTAAGTTTTAAAAGCATCTTTAAACTTTTTGACAAAAGCAGATAAACTGTATTGAAAGTTCTTTGTTACATCGGTATGAATAAACTGTAAATCGTAACAGAAGGAACAATTAATTATTTTAAAATATGGTTGTAATCGATGAGATTCTGCATAATATTATTCATCATGATTATACTTTCATGAAAAATTATACAGGACATAATACATTTCAACATACGCTGTATTACACAACGTCATTAAAACATGTTTGAAAATGTGAATTCATTTAGTTTATACAATTGCAGCATGCTACACATACTCATGTGATGAATTTTAATTAAGCTTCTTGTATTCATTTTGCTTTGAGCATTTTTAATTTATTTTTATTATGTGTTTTTAGGAAGAAAACAGTAAGAACTTCATCATCATATGATGACTTTTTTTGTTGCTGTATTAATTTTTTCTTAAGTTGATTTTCATTTGTTTAAAGTAGAAATTCATAAAGGAACATAATTGAATTCATTCAAAAAGTTACAGGGTTATTGCGGTCGTGGCAGGAAATAGTGAAGCAGTTGTGCTAGGTGGACTTATACCTGATACACAATACCAATTAGTTGTAGCAGCAATTTGGAGTGGTAGAAAATATCGAAGTCGTGCCATTATTTTTAGAACATTAGGTGAGACGGAAGGTAAATTATATTTTATCGAAACAAATAATTTCCTATAAAAGATTCAAAATTTTTAATTAAATTTTATGTTCAACTTCTAATAATAGAATCACCGAGAACATCACCACAACAAGACTTTCCAATGGATGGACCACCCAATCCGCCTTTAGCCGATCCACGATATCGAGAGGCTAACATATCTGTAAATTCTACAACAACGACACGAGCACTTCCAACGGTATGTGATGAAACCTAATACAGTTTGATGATTTATTTATTCTTTTGTTCTATATTTAACATTACTGATAAAAAATCAATATCAATGAGATATTGAACGTGGATCAAATTAAATTAAGCTTTCAGATTCTTGATAAGCATATGTTTGTGGATAGATGAGTAGACAGTGTTTACATAAAATTCATTAGTATAGCAACACCATGTCGAGCGAATGTTTATTCTTACCAGCTACACATATATTATTTCTTTGTTACTTTCATTAATGAAATTCCAACCGATATTTTTATTTATCTCATGTTGATTCATTGATTAATATAAATGTGTGTATTAAAATGATATGAAACTACGTCAATAATATCATCTCATTGCAGATACGTGGCATCGAAGTAGGAATTGTTGTTTTAGTTTTATTCGTATGGGCTGGAGCGATAGCATTATTTTTTAATCGATGGGGCAAAATTCGAATGCTCTTACCTTATCAACCTGATTACAAACAAGATCAATTGAAAGTGCCTGGCACTGGTGTCTGCGCAGCAGGTGCCTGTAATGGGCAACATTCACATCAGGTAACATCACTTACGGTAATGATAATCTTTACATTTTATCTTATCTCCTTTCTCATTCATCATTTAATTAAATTTTATAAATCGATCTTTTTACTTTTATTAAATTTACTTCTCCAAAAATTGAATAATGTTAAGTATTTATTTATTTACAAAATTTGTTTTGATATCATTATGAAGGTAAACCTTTATTTTTTTCATGTTCTATTGAATTTTATTTCTATTTGTTGCGTGGGAATTACTTACGTACAATGGGAGAAGAAAGATGTAATGATGCGTCGATAGAGAGTCAAGAGACTTGAATAATTTCGTCTAGGATTTTGTGACAGTTCAAACAATGAAAATTTTTTTCTATAGAATTTTTGTGACAGAGGGGGGAGGGGGGTCTAAAAATCTGGTTTTTTGATCGACGTCATAAGTGAACGATCCCTTTTGTTACTTATCATTATTTACTATTCAGTATTTTGTATTATTTATCCTTTTATAGCTTTATTTCCGTCCATGTTGTAAACATACATAAAGTTCATCTATCTCTCTTTTGTATTTCATTTTTCTCTATTTCAATGATATCTATTTACTCATTACAAAACCGTCTTTGCTACTGAGGAATAGTCAATTATTTACTGACCTAATTCTTTTACATTCTCTTTCATTAATATTCTAATATGTTTTTACATTATGTTTACATAAAGCTATGCGTTTTGAATATCTTTGCATGTTACTCACATTACAATATTAATTAAATGATTCAAAATAATAGACTACGAATTATGACAATGGCATTTTAGTCTTTCTAAAAAGACATTTCCAATTTCAACTTGACACAAATTTTACTTCTTTATGTATTTCGCTGTTGCTTCTAATGTTTTCTTAAACATATAAAGTACACGAAAAAATATAAAGTAATATTTAAATGACACTTATTTACTGTCAAAACGAATAAATGCCGTCATTCAATTGGCTAAACGGAAAATAAAGTTGTAGTGATTTTGAAAAAAAAAATGTTTTGGTATAATATTGATTTTGACAGTGAACCTTTCATTGTTAGAAGTTTATGTTAATAGTAAAACGTTGTTTTATAATTTCTTTCAGGGCTGCTGAGGAGTTGAAACTCTTATGATTTTCGAAATTCACATTAATGGTGACTGAAAAAAAACATGACTTGAATGAATTTGGATGAATTTTTACTACCAAAGATATTTTAAAAATTATGAGAGTTTTAAATCCTCACGAGCCCTGATTTTCATCAGCCTTATACAATCTTATTCATGCTTGGACGGCGGAAGATTCCTTAAATAGAAAAGAATACCATCACGTTTTGCGTAACCAATGAAGAATCATGACACAATAACTTCTAACCCTTTTTCGGCATAGTAGTGTCTTGAGATTATTCATTAATAATGTCAATAAGATTATTAGTAATTAATAAAAATATTTGCATTTTTCAATAACATCTGAAGATTCTGTATTAAAAAAAATTACAGAAGATCTCGTGTTATTGATCGAGGGACTTAAGCGCATTTTTGTGTTGGCGATCAGTATTTGATTATCTAATTATTTTGCGTGCACTTACAGATCATGAGAAGATTAGAAGATCATTAATTTTATAAAGGCTTTATCATTTAACTCTTTTTTGAAATTCAAATTTTCTTACTGTCAATAAATATTTGAAATTATAAAGGTAATGTTGAAATTACAGAGGGAAAAAAATTTGAGCAGGTTGCACAGTACTGAAATAAAAAAATCATTAATTATAGCACAAAGCCATTGCTTTATGCTTCAAAAATATTCGATCGGCCAATAACTCGATAGAACTGAGCTAATAAAACATATCCGAACTCTCTACGATGTCTGGTTGCAAAGTTTTTAACATGCCCCGAGCAGCCGAATAAAGCGTATTATTAAGCTACCTTTTCGATACAAGTTTCAAAAATGCGCTAAAAACACTGAATAGAATGTTTTCTAAATGTAGGACATCATCAGTAAATCAATTATTTTCCTCGCTGCTGTTCTAATGAGTTTTATAAATAAAGAATGCAAAATAACTTTTGTAGGATAATAAACAGCGAAAAAATGCAAGTTCAAAATGTACAAATCCATAACAAAAAGTCTGTACATAATTCTATTGTTCACAAAAAGTAAAAGCCTTGCTACATGAAATAAAAATAGCTTACAAACACGCGAAATGATTTTTTATGCAAATTTTACTTTACTCATAAACATACATGCTATTATCATGAGTGTGAATAAAATTATTGTAATGCATTCGCTGCTGAATTTCAAGTATATTTCTCTGTTGTCTTCCTTTCTTCTTCAATGTTTTGTGTTATAAATTGGTACATAAAGTATGCAAGAGAATTATTATTCATTCTTTCTGTCTGTATTAATTTTTTTCTTTCCGAACCTGCAAGTGTTCTGCATGTTAAATATAAAGCTTTTTAAAAAATAAAATCATTTTTTTATAAAAATTAAAAATTCAAAATTTTATTTCAAGTATGAAATGATTTCAAATACATTGATATAAAGCAGATCACAAAAGGGACTTAAATAAAATTTATCTAGATTTGCAGAACTTTAAATAATTCACTGTACTTCTCTTTTATGTGACACCCATATTAATCATATTAAACGGCTCCGGAAAAATGGAAAACAACCTTCAAAGATTGACTATTTTTGGGAAAAATTCATAGACCTAAGAGCAAATATTTTTTTCACAACAATTTTTGTCAATAATTCTTGGAAAATTTTTCCCCACTTAAGAATATATTTTGTAATTTAATATCATCATCTAACTCATCGCTGACTCAAAAGCAGTATTATTTTCATTCAAAATTCTTCAGTCTTAAGAACAACTTATGCTTTTTATGTGACTGCTTTCTTAAACTTTGTAGAGTGTATTCACTCATGGAATACTTGAATGTTGTATTGCATTCAATTAAAAATGATTTAAATAAGGAAGCATGAAGCCTTGAAAAGTATACTTGATTTTTTTTTGAGGAATATATATTTATAAACTTGCATAAACGCTGACCCGTCGCTCACATGCAATTGTATCATGATACATTGCTGATAATGATATTATGCATAAACTTCTTTTTCCATTTCATGTTTCCACTTCAATAACTGCGATAGAATTGTAATGAACATATATGAATACAATAGCTTTGATCTGTTCAGTTAGATATGAAAGCTTGTGCCATATGAATGAACTTTAAGTTTGTACAAAATAGAATAAAGTTATAGCTGCATTTGCATTCCAAATGAATCTTCATATTCAAAATCCTTGAAAAATCTCATTACGAGTGTACATTAAGAAGAAATATTTATTGGAAGTTACAGCGGAACAGCTAACATAATTTCAAAAGTTTTAAAAGTTTTTGGTTCTCTTTCATTCAAAAAAAAGTCATTATTTTTTTCTTTTGTTTGCATTTCCCTAATATCTCTATCACAGCAGCATGAAAAGCAAAATTGCAAACTAATAAACGAAGAATTTAGTGAATTTTTTATTTTGTTTCATTTCTGCTGAAATTGAAAATCTGAATTTCATTCTGTGAATATAATAAGTTTATTTGCTTTACATTCTCATTCAGCAGCAAGAGGAGAAGGAACAAACAAGTACGATTGTAAATAAAGAAATGAGCTAATGCAGTGAAGATTGAATAAATCTTCACAATTTCATTTCTCTCCACTCGTAACTGGTTTTTATCGTTATACGTAGTTATAAGACTGATTAAAATTTTCCTTTGCATGCCTGGGGTAATGAAAAAGAATGTCAAAATTAATATCAATCCATTTTTGTAATTTGGACTGTCGGAACTGTCGAATTATTAATCAAAATTATTATCTCTCGTGCATTAATTTGCCAAATTTTGATCACAAAAATCTCCGAGAAGGTTTATGAAGTCTTTTAAATACATTTTGCATATCTTTTTTTTTTTATAAAGACCCCTTAAAAGGACTAATAGCTTAAAAAAATTATTAAGTAAAAACACAAAAATGTACATTAAAAATTAATTCAAAGTGGCTCTGCTTGGGCTTATTTTAATAATTTTAATGAACCAAAATGCACAGCATTTTTATCGACGTTGATTGAATTTACTTAATATTAATTAACTTTCATTTACATTATTTTTAAGCTTCAGGCAAAACATTTACAATATAAATGGATTTCAAATAGTTGTCTACGGTGAACTGGATGCTGTCGAAATCAATAAGTTTTCACTTAACATGTCGAAAACAAAATAAAAGAAAATCTGAATTGCAAACGACTAATTTTGATCTGTATTCTTGGAACTTGCATAAAATGTTAATTTATTTCCTTTTTATATAAATGCTTATTGTTTATTTATAGTCACTTAATTGTTATAGTTCAATTACCATAACAATAATGAAAGCTCTTTTATTCCGACTAATGCCAAAGCTATATAAATGTTAAATTTATTAAAGATAAAACTTTAAACAGCATTTAATTTTTTAATTCAATTTAACAAAAAATTCATCAATTAGAACGTATGCAAAGATATTCAATTCCTCGCAGCTATCACTTTTCAATTTCAATAAACTTTTGCACACGTACAATGTTTCACCATTAATTTTAATTTCACATCAGAAAACGATAATTTTCATATTCAACAATTAATTAATTTTCGTGCAACAATTATGAAAGCTTCATTGATATTACATTTATAAGGAAAAGCAATTTGAACGACAAATTGATTTATAATGTTGAGGATTCCCTTAATTATTTGGAGAGTGCAAAATGTCATAAAATTCAAAAGATTTCCTTGTTGCCTGCTGGACTTTGAATTATTTCTTATTTCTTACTTTATTGTTTTTCATTTCTCACTTTGGTTTTAAAAAAAATCTAAGTTTTATTATTAGTTGCTAATAGCCCAAAATTATGCTAAATAACTCAATAGAAAAGCTGAAAACACTATCCATTTATCATATCCTAAAAACCATTAAGATAAAATATGTAAATGTAAGGCTTAATTAATTTAATTATAATATAAAAAAATTTAACCTGAAAAAGTGTTTGCCGCGATGCGAAGGCTGTGGCTTATTAGATCGATGCTTCCAATGCTCACGTCGTTCAAGAGATTCTCGTGATTGCGGATGTCAATTTGCACTTTTACATCGTGCTGATCATGAAGTAGGAAGCTAGCATCTTGATCCTCACACAACTACTACAACACATAAACACTACACACAACGTCAAAAGCGCCTAATGTTTGCAAAAAGTGGTCAACATTCAAAATCAAGTCGAAGTTCGCGCAGTCGTTCCGTTCATGACGATATTGAATATTGTGTAAGTTTTGAAACGTCAACTAAAGATTTCACATTTCAATACAAAATTTCCCCGTACATAAAATGCAATTTTAGACCATTGCTTAGATCCCCTTAAATCAACATCACATTTACATATATCCACGATTTAGTTTTATAGTTTTTGTAAATAGGTTTACGAAAGGATTTAAAGTGAACATAAGATTAGTAATGTGTAGTCTTGATAAGTAAAGAATGTTCATTATGATAAATTTTCTGTCTTTTTCTTTAGCATTTATAATTGTAAATAGAATTGGAGAATCTTTATATCTCCTTGCTGTTTAGTTAACTGTTGGATTCTATTATCTTTCTATTATTTTATGTTTGATATTTTTTTTTGCTTTTAACACCATTTAAGTTTATTACAGTCACATTAATTATAATTATCTTAAAAACTTTACAAATTTTTATAGATTTTTTTCCTCTTCTGATTTATCAATTTACTATGCCTTTATCTTCTTTGCCATTCCGTTTAACACAATGTTCTCATTACTCATTCATAATGTTTTTACTATTTTTCAGAGCTTGAAGTCGACTCGAGTCCTATTGACTTCGAGCTCTGCTATTTTAAAACTTTTATTATTCTTCAAACTTTTATTGAGTATGTTACGGTACCATGAGTATACTCACTTGTCTGTTAGGGAGAACAACTAGAGAAGATAATTTTTAATACGTAAGGATGTCAATTCCTGCTCTTTTCTTTATCAAAAATTTTTCACAATTTTTGGTTTTGCATAAACTTAACGTATTTGCTACAGGTTTTATCATTAAGTAATGTTAAAGATGCACATATGAGATAATTATATAAAGAATCATGTAAATTTAATAAAACATCATAACAACAAAGTCTTTTTTAAGACTTAATAAATTTAATTTATAACTTTTTATGAAACTTTTATATTAATACACACACTTTTATTTTTGATTTGATTAAAATGTGAAACGTGAAAAATTCAAAACAAAATTTTATCTTACCGAAATAAAATTTTCATTGCAAACATTAGAGCACCTACACAAGCTTACAACTATATGCGCTGTAGTAATTTAAACTAGTAACTTATTATTTATATGAATTCTGAAAATTTTAAATCAAAGTTGAATGCACAGTTTTATTTTTTAATTGATACACTAATTAATTTAATAATGATTTCACTTCTGTTCATATTCGACCAGCCACTAGAACTATGCTTCCTGTTTAACAAGCTTTTTATAATATTTATCTATGAATTTTGCTTTGAATTTTGTCAAAAGAGATTTTTTTGTGTGTTTTCCAAATTAAACAATACATTTTGCACTCATTTTAGACTTAAATCTCAATATTGCCATGATACATTGGTTAGCAATATGTTGAAAGAAAAGATCTGCGTTTTAAATTAAATTCCAGTAACAATCAATAATCCCGCTTAGAAAATTATAGCCAAATCATAATTCTTTTGGAAGAACTAAAATTCATCAAGTTTTTAATACTGATTTATTAAATTTATATTTTTTTCTTACTCACATATTTAAGGAAAATAATTGCTAGCATCTCTCGCTTTTTGGTTTATAGTCTGCAATAATTTACATTCTCAAACAGTAATTTGGATTTTTTCTTTTATAAACTTCATGTGTTTGTTACACTGAAAGCACCACGCTGTTATGATGAAAAACATGCTAAAATTTTTTTTTGATCAATAATAACATTCTTCCCGCTTTATAATGAAAATATCCTGTAGATTAATCTAAACTAAAATATAATAGTCGAAAAGGCATTAATCTTAATAGATTATTTGCAAACCAAAAATCACCATTAAATTATGTCCAATCTTTCCACTTCTTATTCCAATCGACTAACAGACATTCCCCACATTTTTGAGTTTGGAATTTAATTTATACCAATTGAGTCAAATATTCTGTTCAAATTAAATGATTTCTCTTTGGATTCTTGCCGTATTCACTAGTCACATAATAATATAAAATAAGGTCTTTTCTGCAAACACGAAAACCAAAAAGCACAGAATTTATAAATTATTCATGTTTAAATTTAATTTAGAACTTTTTTTCCTCTCCTTCTTCTTCCTCAATACATTTATTCCATTTTAAAGATTCAAGTACGAAAGTAAAAACTTCAGATATTGAATTATAAAAGAATGCGTTAAAAATAAAGCACAAAGGATCAAAAGAAAAATTCAATAACTTATAATTTACGTTCTCAAATTTGTTGATTTAAAAGAAGAAAAGGCTTCGAATTGAGACAACCTGGGCAACAAAATTCCTATCCAAATTATTGTTTCATCATGTTGATATGATTTCTATTTTAAATTTTTATGGCTAATTTAAAGTTGCTTGAGTCAAAACACTTCTTTCATCCCTGTTTGATTACTCGTTTTCTGTACTTTTCTACTTCTTCCTTACTCACTTCCTTCCTTCAAATGTAATATCTTTCGCAATTACAATGATATATAGAACTTAATATTATACATAGAAATATTTATTCTTTTGTAAATTTTTTCACATTTCCTTTATGACATCCAGTTTTTGTAATATTAATAAATTATGTAATAAGAGTATTTAGATCCTATATGCTAAAAATTGAGTTTGTTATTAAATGATAACATTGTTAACTATACAGCATATTCATCCTCATTGGAATACTGATGAGCCATCAACTGTGATTGCTGACAGATGTCATAGGGCACGCATAAATTCAGCTATTTTCGTATCATCAGAAGGCCGTGGATTTGATTCAATTGAGTTCATTCGACGTTATGGTTCACAAAGTATCCTCTGTCGAAAGGCAAAAAGTGCGGAAAACATTCCTGCTGGCAACAGAAATGTAAGTCCTTTGTTCCTTGATTTTATTTCATTTCATTATATTCAATATTTTTTCAAATTATCCGTTTCAAAATCTAGCGTCGATTCTCAGAAAATCCATCAAGTAGTAAACTATGGGAAAGTGAAGAATATAGAAACTCGCCAGCACGAGAGAAAATTGAATTGGTTGAGTGCTATAATGATCCGTCACTAAAAATTGTCAGCATTCCAAAAAAAACGCCAAAAAAGCTTCTGGCAGCATTACCGACATTGAGCATAAGTGGACCATCACCAGCACCGTCTAGAAATACATCGCCAACATCTAATTCACCAACTAAAGAAGAGGATGAGGAACAGCAAAATTTTTTGTAGCTAAACGAGAAAACTTTATTTGTAAATACTAGTTGTAAACTAAACGAGCTGCTTGTGTAGTGATCGATGAAAGTAGAAAATATCAAATAAGTTTTTAAAAAACATCATAAAATTTATAGAATTATGTTTAAAAAATTCATTTCATCATCTGCGTATCCATTTTTTATATCGCTCATAATACCCGAAAAACCAAATATTTCTTGCCAACAAAAATGTCAATTTTAAATAATGAATGGATGATTTTTAACCAAATTGAATTAAAGGCTATCAAACTTCTGACTTTTTAAGAAAATAAATATGCATGATTATTTTAAATGACATGTTGAACTTAATATTGCTTAAAATTTGATAATTTACGTTTTTTGTATTGTACAACAGTTCTAGAATCAGGGCAAATAGCTTGGGGTGAAATTTAATGTAAAACTGGCATAAAGTTCTATTAAATATTTTAATCCTAGCTGTTTCCCTCCTGTCTAGGATTTAACAAAAAATTAAAAAATTCTTTAAATTTAATTCACTAATTGTAACAAATAATTTCAGTTAAACCTACCTGCTGTCTTAATGTCAAGAAATAAAATAAAATCAAATCGTTACTAAAGACTGTCGTAAAATATATTAAGTTTAGAGCTCTTAAAATTTTTGGATCGTAATTATATCATAATAAACTTTCGTCATGAATGCCTAACATTGAAAAATAATCAAATTTAAATGCACAAATATTTTTCTAAGTGAAATCAAATTTGACTCTAGAATCTATTTTAGTATGCGAGCTCTGCAGGCAAATGTTGAAAAAAATATTCAAAGGCAAAAAGGCATTCATTTCTTTTTAAATGCGTTTTAAATAGATGATACATCGGCAATGAATTAAAAAATAACTAGCAAGCGCTATATTTATAGTGAAAAATTTATTACCATTACAAAGAAAATTTATTTGAAATCAGAATTGATATACTTGTATACAGTCTAGTCATTTTACGCTTATGTTAACATTAAAATTGTAAAAAAATGAGTTATGTGATTAATGATCTGATGAACGATGGGGCTAAAATTTACGATCGAGTGAACAGTCAGATCGAATCAAGTTTAAGATTAAAAGTAAACAATTAATAGAAAAAAGAAATTTATGCCTGATTGCAGCACATCATCAGCTTTTCTTTTTAAGTTCAACATTATCCATAAAAAGACAATTACTTTCATGTAGTGTCTGCATTAAGAGACACCATTGATTGAGGCATTTTAAGTTCATTTATAAATAGGTTCAGGATAACATAGCCTTTTTTATTTGATTTATAAATGGAAAAATGGGTTAATTGAATATAAATTTGCATTTTATTTTCTTGAAATTTCGCAGACATTAAAATTGAATATTATTTATTTTTACTTTTATGTTTATACATTTTGACTAAAAACGTGGCATTAAAAGAATGAATGTGCTCTTGATTATCATTTAAATGGATTCAAACAAGAGAATATATACCAAGAAAATAGAAATTTTACTCCTTAAAACATGAGCGGGTCGAGTTTACAATTGTAAATATGATAAATGTAAAAATATTTTCCTTTTGCGCACACATGTAGGCAAATTCTCTATCGAAGAATTGTCTTTCATTCAACATAACATTTCTCAAAAAAATATAGATTTCTTTGTTTTCGACATTTCAGTTAACAAGTGCAAACATTTCACATTTTCCAAAACTTCATACTTTATTCATGATGAGCATACATTAGGAAACGAAAGTATTATATTAAATTAATGAGAAACAAAGTTAATCGATCTTATTGAAAGTCGAAAAGTAAATGAGCTAATGAAAATGAAACAATGAACTCCACTAGCACAACTCTTCTGCGATGAATTTTAAGCATTTTATTGTTTTCCGATCCTTTTATTCTGATTCCTCAATATTACGTAAAATATACAGATACACACAAATGTAAATTTTTTTATTTTCTTTACTTTATCTTAATTTGACATCGAATGGACAGAAACATCATCTCACTGTTTTAATGCTCAGAGATATCTTTGAATTAAAAACATTTTTAACAATAGAGAATCCAACGAAATTCTAATAAAAGTCTTTCAGAGCATATCAAAAGCCTAAACAAATTCAAATAGCTCTTTTATATGGTAAAATTCATTTCAATAGAATAGAATGTAATGTAGGGTTTTGCTAATAGCAAAAGCGGCACTGCGATCGATGATCTGTTGTACCATCCCAAGTCCCCTATGTTAGAATTCCGATGTCCTTAATGAAGCCAATAATGTCCTGATAATGCTGCTTATTTATATCCTCATCATTCAAGTAGTCCTCATCAAAATGCTTGACACGTTGTACTCGTAATGCTCTGCATTTACAAAGAATATGAGTGATTGTTTCCTCATTTACCTTACAAAACCTGCAAATTTTACTGTTAGACAAATTCAATTTAAAAAGAAAACTATTGATACTCATGTGTCCTGTCAAAGCACCAATTAAGATGCTAAGATCTTTCCTTGGTAGTCTGAGAGCATAAGATATTTTGTTCTTATTTTTAGGACCAAGAAGTCTTTTGGCTGTCATGGCTCCTTCCTCTAAATTCCAGATACGAAAATGCTGTCTCTCCATCCATTCTCGTATGTTTGACTTCAACAAGCCAAACCCATAGTACGTCGACTTGTCATAATCTTCCTTGTGTACTGCTTCTTTAGCTAATTGATCAGCTATTTCATTACCTTCAATACCACTGTGTCCAGGTATCCACTTTAGGATGACTTCATTTTCTTGCCCCAATGCTGTTAAACAAGAAATACAATCAAGAACTGTTAAAGACTTCACAACACAATTGTTTAAAGCCGTCAAAGCTGATCGACAATCTGAAAGAAAGCAAATTCTACAGCCTTTCAAATCCATATCCAAACAGTAATTAGCACCCACACAAATAGCTTGAACTTCTGCCTGAAAGACAGAAGCATGATCTTGCAGTTTGTAGGATGAATTCAAACTCAGCTCATTGCTGAACAGACCGATGCCAACACCACTTTCTGACTTTGATGCATCAGTGTATACAGACATACAATTCCTATCCACCAAATCACAAGATTCAGCAGCATTATCTTCTGATTCAACTACCTTAAAAGGTTTGCCAAAAACGTATTTTGACACTAAATGATCTGATTCAAAGGTGAATAAACTTACATTTCAATAAAACATACATAAAGTTATTAAAGCTATCATCATAATGAGAATTTAGTTCAGTTAAAGAAAATCCTTAAATCATTTTCGAATAATTAATTATGTTTGTATTCATTTGTTTGGCTTCATTTTATTCATTACTGATAAAAACCAACTTTATGATGACTAATCATATTTTACACCTGGCTTTTTAAGTTTGAGGTTAAAGCGATTTCAACATATCTTTAGCAGATTTGAAACGAAAAGTATAAAAAATATTAAAAGAAACTTGAATTTGTCAATTCCTTGAAAAAAAAATTGTTAAGTGAAATCATTCAAAGAACCGTTTTTACACATGTCTATTCAAATTATCTTTTTCTTAAATTGATATTGCATACAAATTTTCAAAAGGGTCAAAAAGCATATAAAATTTAGATCTGTTCCGGTGTACTCTTAAGCTGATTTGCATAAACTAAGCAAGCAAAACAACCGAGAATATCAAATTAAGGGTTGAATTTTACGATCTTAGATATTATGAAATCTTTTCTATTTTATTATTATTCTAGATGCTTTCAATAAAACACAAACTTTTTTCTTTACAAGAAGCTTAAATGATGAACATGATAAGTTAGCAACACAAAACTCAATAAGAACTTTAAGTCTTAATGGTTCAATAATTAATATGCTTATTTAAAAATTCATTATAATAAAACTTAATCTCGACCAAACTCAATATGAGTCATTATCTATAATTTTCATCACAACTTTTTGTAATCAATTTGTTTGAAATTTCTTTTTAAAGAGTCATTTATGATGTCCAATCTTCTTTTCTTCATTTTATTCTATAGCATAGTTTATAAATAAACAGAAGCCATTAATATCAAACAGTAATAATTGAATAAAAATTTTATACTTCCATATCAAAATTTTTTGCATTATCAAAAAAGTAAAATAAATTAAATCAATAAAAAAAACAAATGAAACTGATACTTTCTTTTTGTTTCATTGTGTCTTATTTTCATGAGAATTACAATGATGATAGATAAAAGAGAAATCTTTTCCTATTTTAAAGTTTTATGCTATTCTTCATTTTTCATTGTTTTATTTCACTTTATTTATTTATAACCATACTTATAAAAAAAATACATCAAAAAAGAAAGAAAGAAAAAATTTTTTGTCCTTCCACTGCACTGATTTTATTTATTTATTGATGATAATAAAGTTCAGGGTTTAATTTTGAGTACTCTTAAGTACTCCTTTAAATTGATTAAAAATTGATACTTGTGCATTGATTTTTGTTCAAAACGAAAGATTTTTATCATCAATATTGTAAAAAAGAAAATGCTGGGACCATTGCAAGCATTTTGCAACAGTGTTCTTTATGTGATGATGTAGAAAAAAAAAATAGAAAGAAATCCCTCCAATTTCCATTTTGAAAATAATATGTGAAAGAGTTTATTCTTGATGAAATGAAAAAGATTAAAACAAAATGAAGTTTTTACCTTTTATGCCTAGAATTAATACAAAGATACGTTTTTTTAAAAAAAAACCGGGAATTCAGAATAAATTTGGTGAAAATCCTTAAACCATGTGACAAATATTAAGCTATTGGAACAAATAAAAAATAAAATTAAATCATCTCCTTCTCCTACATATCTTTAAATGAAACCCTTAATTCTAAATAAAGGAAAATTAAGGATTCTTAACATTTTTTTAATCTGAATTCCATAAATACCTACCTTAATGTTGAAGGAAAATTATTAAACAATGAACAATTTGATCCTAAAGAATATTCCCGAATCATTGTTAACACAAATTTAATCTATATGTTTCAAAAATTTTAAACATGCCTTAAGAAAACTGACAAAACCAATGAAGAATATCTCTAGTAAATTACTTAAATCAGTAAAGACATTGTACCAAAAAAATCCACTTTATGACCAAGAAAATTATGAAATAAATTCCATATTTTATGTTCTATTATTAAATTAGAGAATGTAGATAATGAATTTATTATGTAAAATTCTTACAAGCTTTAAACATAGCTTTAATGATCGGAAAACTGATGATAAAAGAAGAAGTAACTAGCGAAATAAAAGCTATTAAAATGAAAATGAAATATTAGCTTGTAAATGTTCTCTATAAATTAAGAGATTAAGCACCAAATCGAGTTTATTAAGCTGTTATTCATTCATCTTTGAATACTTGAATGTCTGTTACTAAAAATTCTTAACTCACCATGATTATTACTTTTTATTGGACTTAATTTACATTATAAATTTTTATAGTTTAGCAACTCATTAACGTCAAATATTTTTCACAAATTAATTAATTTCGCAGTTAACTTAAGAAGGTGTTCGGTCACTGTGACATGATCGAGTTAAAGTATAATAAAAATACAGATTTGGAATAAACGTACATGTTTGCAATTTTTTATATTTTTTTGTAGCAATTTTGATCTTTAGAAATAGTTTTTATCGTCCCAGTTTCATCATCAATCTCCATGAATAGGATAAGTAATGAATATTGAGTCTACAGCTATGTTCGTGTCGTCTATGGCCAAAATTAATAGACATCACGCATTTTCCTCTCCAAAATGTTTCTTGTCAATGAACCTCTCGAGTGAATCCTCAAATGTCTCTATGCCATTTAGAAATACGTGTAGGAGAATTCATCATTTAATGTTGATGTAGATTCCGTACAATATTTCAAGATTTTTTCATCCCCATTCAAATGATGTTTTGTGAGAAATCAAAAAATATGTGGACGTGAATAAAAAAATTTTCGTACGAAAAAGGAGAATAAGATATTATGTCTAAAAAGATGTCATAAAGCTTTAGAAATCAAATAAATACATGACCTACATTTATTAAAATCCACAACATGCATGAAGAACTTCAACAGTAATCACATTAATTTTTTTAAAGTAAGTACAGTCCCTCACATCTATGGATTTTTCACACTTCTAATCTTATTCTCAATTGAATTGTCATCTATGGAAATCATTGCATAAACCCTAATATCATCAGCATTTGTACAAATGCTTTCATCCTTTCTCTTTTATATTGAAATATTATTTTTCCAACATTTCCGTCGATAAGCAAAGTAACTTTTTGTGATTTTACAGATGTAATAAAATTATTCAAACGTAAAAATAAATCCTTCGCAGAAAATTCTACATTTCTTTTGAAGAATATTGTACTGTAAGAATACTTTGACATTTTGTGTGATATTAAAGACTTTTAAACTGCTTTTTCAATTGAAAAAACAAAAGTAAATTAAATTAAAAAATCATTATAAACAGCGAGGAACTAAAATTTCTTGACAGATAAATGTGATCGCAAATATATACAATTTATTAATATCGGATATATATATCAAAATTGAGATGTTTTATTTTGAAAAGTTGAGGCGATTTTGGACTACATTTTTGAAAGGTAAACACCTCAGTCTAAAAGTCCCAAAAATGCAGCTACCCTAAAATGCAGATAGTATTGCCAAGATGCAGATGGTACTGTTAAGTTCAGATGAAATTTATGTTCGCTAAAATGCAGATGAAATGCTTTTGCTTTAAAAAGGTATAATGCAGATGATTTTTATCGTATAAAGATGCTGCCCAAATGTAGATCGTATAATTTTATTAAAATAAAGATGAAATACTGTTATAATGTAGATAATTTAACGTCGAATATTAATTATTTATTCATAGTATTTTAATGAGTAAAATTTTACCCTCGAGATAATTTTTCACTCAGGGGCAAAAAAAAGTTTACCCTCGAGATAATTTTTCACTCAGGGGTACGGTAGAATTATACGATAAAAATCATCTGGATTATACATTTTTAAAGCAACAGCATTTCATCTGCATTTTAGGGAAAATAAATTTCATCTGCACTTTAGCAGTACCATCTGCATCTTGATAGTACAATCTGCATTTTAGTGATTTTTAGATCGAGGTAGGTAAACATTCCAGATATTACCCAGTAAAAAGGTTTTTATTATCACTATTTATAGTCACAAGAAATTGCTGAAACAAAAATCAACGGTTATAAAATATTTAAAAAAATAACGAATTGAAATTTTCAAAAAAAATAATAACGGACTTAAATTTGCAACTAGCTTATTATCTTTCAACCCATACAGTAAATATTTACTATAATAAACTGATTTCCTTTTTTTTATAAAAGTAAGTAAGTAACGCCATCTCGTGGAAATTTCATTTCGTTCTTTCCAAAATCCAATTTTTTTTGTAAACAGAAGAATAAAATAATTAATTTTACGAATTGTCAAATAAATAGCATACAAAAATGGCATCACAAAAATTCTTTCGATTCTTTACAACGGAAAGAGGTAAAAAATTCATGATGTACACGTCGACAATAGCTGGGTTATCTGCATTTTGCATAAAATATCTACCGCATACGCTTTTAGCTGAAAAGCACAAGGAAATAGTTGCATCTTATCAGTAAGTTAAATAAATTAAACGAATTACAAGCAAATTTATATTTTTTTTCACTTCTAGAAATGGCATTGAAAGGAAAGTCAGTGAAACACTCGAAAAGCGGCTCGTTACAGCACTAAATTCACTTAAAATTACTGATTCCGAAAGAGATTTCTTTGTGCCTTTCATAGTATCAGGCTTTGATTTATACTCGATTGGTTCAACAAAGTTTCGTGATGGTTGTCTTGTTGGAATTCCTGTTAACTATTCATATACTGCAAGTGATGAAATCCCTCGTACTGAAATTACTGTAAGAGGATATGATCAAGTGGATTGGAGCTCAAATGCTGGAAAACTTTTGCAGGAGGGATTAGTTTTATCAGAGCCTGAACAAATATTTGGAATATGTCGTGAAATACTTGAATTGAAATCCCACAAAGTATTATTCAATGCATTATATCCAGTTGGATCAATTCTTTTGTATTACAGCATAACTTCCACAGTAAATACACGTAATCACCTCTTTAAAGGACCTTTGTCACTTCGTTTGGTGATGTATTCAATAGTTGGTCTCTTTTCTTTAGGAATATATTGCTTCGTCAAAGATTTCACTCAAGTAGCTCTTGACAAATATGTGGATGAAACTTTGGCAAATTTGGGGGCGAATTTTCTAGTTGCTGGATTAGGCTTTTATGATAAAATACTCAAAAAGAACATGGCAATTAAAAATCTGACTAATACAAGTGAATTAACAGCCATGGGCAACATAAATAGCTATTTTAGAACTAAAACAATACCATTAACAGATCGAAAAATGTATTTCCAAAAACGTCTTAAAGAATTTATCGCAGAAGAAGAAAAGAAAAAGGAAATAGAGATAGATGAAACTAAATGAATGATTTGTAGAATTTCTAGTACTGTATAAATAAAAAGTTATGAAAATAAAATGCTTTAAGCGTGTAATATGCTTTGACATTCTGATCGTGGTTCAACGTTACACGTTGATCGAAAAAGTGAAAAGTTTGTCAAAAATTCAGCTTAAATGCTTATGTTGTAGACATTGGTCCCTAGTTTATGGGAAAAATAATTTTTTCCCCCAGAAGTGCCTGGTCCACGAGAAAAGAGAGTTTGAATTTTTGTACTTCGTGTAATTTTTAAAATGCTATTGTGCTTTACCTACTTATCCGTTTGTCTTCAATTTTTTTTTTATTTGATAGATACAAGTAAGAACTTTCTTCTTATGAATACCCATATGACATACTTTTTGTACATAATGGTTCCTCAAAGTTGAAAAAAGTTTGAAAAAACTAGGTTTTTTGTCATTTTTTGGACTTCATGACTATATAAGGCTTTCTAAATATTTTTAGATTGCATTATTTTGTAGATCTCATTTATATCTACAAACCTTACATGCATAATCAGCAGATTTTATGTAGTTTGAGTAGTGAAAATTAACTTTAAAGTCAAAAATTTGCATATTTTTTGCTATATTCTCAATTATGATCCACTGTCCATGTCCGGCTCCCAAATTTTATTTCATTAATTTGTAGATTTTAGTATGTTGTATTAATTAAAGCTAAATAAAAAAAGAATTACCTGCCGGAAAGCATCAAAATATTAGTCTGAACGTGGTCTAGTGAGGTATCTCAAAATTCAAAATGAATTTCCACACACCAAACTTAATGAAAGGAACTGAAATTTTCAGGTTATATTCAAATAGCAATGTACTTAACATCCACAGTAAAAGTTTTTAATTAAAAATACAATTTTGTTGAAAATTAAGGCAAAAAGTGATATATGATGTTATGAAACCAATTAATGCTCAATAAAGCTACTTTAACTAGTTTGTATCAAAACATTTTTACAATTTTCATATAGTTCATTTAAAAAGCTTTCCAATGGTATATAAGAAGTCATAAAAATGTGTAATTTCGAGTAAATATCATCAAAATTTTAAAAAATGTATCAAATTTTACCGAATCTGAAAACCTATGCTTGACATTTTTGCTCAGAACTATTGTAAATCTTAAGTATATGCAATAATTTTGGTATTGTTAGAAAGCTTAATGTAGTGTTGATGTATTTAAAAAGGAATTGAAGCTCATCAGCAGCTAGGAGAACAGATATGCAAGGGTCAATATGTCATACTTTGACTGCCACTACAAAAAAAAAATAAAAAAAATTTGAAGACAAACGGATAAGTAGGTAAAGCACAATAGCATTTTAAAAATTACATGAAGTACAAAAATTCAAACTCTCTTTTCTCGTGGATCAGGCACTTCTGGGGGAAAAAATTATTTTTCCCATAAACTAGGGACCAATGTCTACAACATAAGCATAAAAGCTGAATTTTTGACAAACTTTTCACTTTTTCGATCAACGTGCGTTACTACAAGTCTGTAATGAAAGAAATTTTCAAGTTTTTCAGATTGCCTACAAATTTCAATCATTAAATTGATTCTATTGATGCATGTCCAAGTATTGCTAGAACTCATAATTAAGCAACTCATGTTCGAGGAATTTATGAAACTATAAAAATATGAGATACTTGCTAAATATCAGACGCAGTTTATAAGCTTAAGCATGCGTGCTCATTGTAAGTTGATACACTAAGAAATTCGGAAACTTAGGTCTTTTTCATGATGGTGAATGGCAAAAACCAAAAACATTTGAAAACGTGTTTAATGTTTGCAGCAACATTTAAATTATCTTCATCTTTTTGTTGATGCATTGAAAATGCATGTTTCTCTGTAGATATGTAGTTGATTTATTGTGCCTTCCTCACTTTTGCTTCAAACAAAATTGGTCGGTTCAATTATTACTTAACATTATTAGCACTTTTAAAAGTGTCAGCATGTTATATGATGGTCAGAAGTGATTTTATAAATGATAAATTCATTACGAAATTTAATGTAACCTGGTAACTGTTTTAAACCAACAGTTTGTTGACATAGTTGACTGAACTGTTTATTGTTTGATTTAAGAAGTAGCTTATCACGTGAAGAAAATATTGAAATACGGATCTTTCACTGGTGGGACTCGTTCTGTTGACCTTCTCGTGCTGAGTCCTGTGATCTAATTGTAAAATGGATTGTTTGGGGTGCATGGGAATTGTAAGGGACAGTGCTTAATTTTCTCTTAAACCACAAAAACATCAAAAAGATTCAAAACCAAAACCAATAATATACACGCTAAGTGTGGAAGTAAATTTAATTTATAAAAACACGTGGAGAGTAATACTTACAATGATTGGCAGCCCTAAATGATATTTGTATCGTTATACACGCTTCTACTTCCAATAAAGATTATCATGAAGATGCAAAGCATTTCCATTTAAAAAAAAATTTTGGTATGCGCATGAGTGCTGAGAGAATAAAATTTCCTCTCAAGATTTTCAATTTTCATTTTCACATTTTTCCAAGCTAGTCATATGCTTAGGAAGCGTACATTATCTAACACTCCAAAATTAAACAAAATAAAGGGAAATTCTCTTGAAATTAATAATTTTTAATGTAAACAACATTTTAAAAAGCAATATTTCCTCAAACGGAAATGCAATAAAGGAAGTGAATTAATTTTAGGCCTGGGAAAAAGTGAATTTGATTAAAAAAGAAAGAAAAATAATCCTGTGAAGAAAAAAAAAATCGGGCGAGGTGCAAATTTTGCCAAAAAATATTTTCGCACTGTGAATTTATAGAGTATCAACAAACTCGCAATGCAACAAACAACTTCCATAGTATTAAAAAGTATGTACAAATAAAAATATTTTAAAGTTGCAAAAAAACTTACAATTTTATTTTTAGGTCTCTCAATTCTTCTGGGATTATTCTTCCTTTTCACTGGATTTATGAAAATCAGCCCTTATATATCAAAAGAACTGCACAGAGATTTGGTAAGCTGAACTTTATTCTATTCCAGACATAAATCAATAAGAAGAAAAATATAAGCGCGTGTCTAGTTATTGCCAAATATTATCTACGTCATTAAAAGATTTTTAAAAAATATATAGAGACTAAAAGTCCATACCTTAATTTATTCTTCAGTCGTTCCCATCAAAATTTGGCCTACGATCCTTCTCATTATTTCCAACGAATATCATCATCAAATGCTTTGCTAAAAATAGCGTCGCAAAACATTGTACTTTGTGAATTTCTTTTTTACTTTTTATTTAAAACTTGCACGATTATTTTTTTGTACTTCTTACAAACACTTAATGCGCCTTTACATCATACATAAAACCTCTTATTATTTTTTTCATTTTATCTTCTTTCATCACAAATGAAAAGCATAGCTGAAAATCTGTGCAAAGAAATGTAAATATTTACAGAGAAATCTTTCACTTACTTTGACCAATTCTCAATTGATTTAATTAAGCCATATGAATAGAAAAAAATATAAACAAGCTTTAAACACCTGTTTGAATAAAAATTCTCACATCTGTATTTTTTTTTTGCAGCGAAAACATTATGTCAAATATGCGAAGGCATTTCCAATGGCATCATTGTTTGATATTAGAGTACCTTCAAAGTGGTATCGTCGAATTATAGGAGCAATCGAAGTCCTTTGTGGAGGCTTGATGGCAGGATTTCCAAGTCGTAAGTTATTTGCTCTTTATATAAGTTCAAGCACATTTGTGAGTCAGCTGTGTGATTCACTTGTATTTATCGTATTACAAAAACTAAGCTGGGTCATTTAACACAATAAAATGTCTACATAGCAACATTTAACCTAAGGCGTGGAAACTATCCCAAATATTATATTTATCCCATATATCCCAAAAATATTCAAAAAATTCCTGAGCATGTATGCACGATAATAAAGATATCCCAACGTATCCTTAGTGCATTGGACGTGTAATTTCAGGATATGATGGGATATCTCAATTCTAATGCATGCAGGCTCAGGGATTATTTTGAATATTTTTGGGATATATGGGATAAATGGGATATTTAGGATAGTTTACACGCCTTGATTTAACCTAAGTATTAATCATGTTCTTATTTCCCAATAGACACTGTGAAGAATGCAGCAAATGGAACACTTCTCTGCCTTATGTTTTTGGCACTTTATTCACAATATATGGCTAACGATCCATTCGAACGACTTGGTCCGACATTAGTCTTCATTTTTATGCTTGTAGGACGATTAGTTATATTTTTTCAGGTATAAAATTAACGTTGCTCTATTTAACAATTAAAATAATCTACTTTCCTTTATTTACCGCAGATCCATCGAAAAGAGAAGCAAAAAGAAGATGCTGCAGCTGCTCAAGCAAATGGCATAAAACAAGACTAAAGACTTAAAACGAATATCCTCAACTACCAATACTCATTATTAAGAATCCTTTTTGTTCTGATATTCCTATCCTAAGGTGAATTTTATAAAATTTCTATTGTATAAAAAGTAAACCCTTTGAGATTACTCTAATTACTTATATAAATTAATTAACTTGACGATTTTATTTGAAACATTTGCTAAATTTATGATAAATCGAGAAGCAACTTTCATAAATGATAAAGTTATTCGTAGACATTTTTTACAATGAAATTTTTGCACTTTTATTAATGCGATATTAAAATTGATAATTGCGAGAGAAAAGTGTTAATTTAGTAAATAATAAAGGAATTAGTGTGCACGATTTATAAGGAGAATAAAAGTAAAATACACATGACGTATATTATACTAGTTTTAAATTGCATGTAAAATCATTAAAGATCCTACAAAGCCCTGAACATGAGCGACCGTATTGATTGTATTGAATAAGGAACGAAACACAAATATAATGTTTTTGTTACTGTGAATTTTCTGACCTGCTGATTCATACAACAAAAAGCATATATACATTTTTAAAAATTATTTCATACAGTCATACAGAAGTAATCAAGCAATGAAGACGTTTATTTTTAAAACTGCAATTTTCGTTCTACTCATCAACACAGTTTGTGGATGGAGACATTTTTGGAAAGGAAGAAAAGTCGATGGAAATTTAGGAGATCCAACTCATTTTCATTTGAAACTAGGAAATGGAAGTGAAGATTTATGGTTCACACAAAATTTAGATCATTTTCAGCCATTAAATAGAGAAACATGGAATCAAGTAATTATCTGATTCATATTGATAATCTCGGAATACAAAATTGTTTTGCTTTTAATTTATTAAACTTCTAGAGATATTACATCAATGATGAATATTATAAACCAAACGGACCCATTTTCCTTATGATTGGAGGAGAAGGTGAAGCTACATCAAAATGGATGCACAAAGGGGCATGGATTCAATATGCAAAGAAGTTTGGTGCACTTTGCTTTCAATTGGAACACCGTTTTTATGGAAAGTCTCATCCAACTTCGTAAGAATGATTTTAAATAAAATATTCACACTGATTCACACTCTCAACAATTCATTGATTTCATTTTAGTGATCTTTCAACCGAAAATCTTCGTTTCTTATCTTCGGAGCAAGCACTAGCCGATTTAGCCTATTTCATTAAGCGAATGAATGAAAAATATAAATTAACATCTAATAAATGGATTGCTTTCGGAGGAAGTTATCCTGGATCTTTAGCTGCATGGCTAAGAGAGAAATATCCACATCTTGTTCATGGCTCTATTTCGACATCTGGGCCATTACTTGCTAAAATTGACTTTTATGAGTATTTTGAAGTTGTGCGAGATTCTTTATCTACTTACAAAAGCTGTGATTGTGTTACAAAAGTTCAGCAAGCAATTCAGCAGGTCGATGTACTTTTAAAGCACATGATAGGACAACGAACTTTAAACGAAAAGTTTTTATTGTGTGATCCTATTGAAAAATCAATTGACAATCCGCTTGACATTGCCAATCTTTTTGAAGGTCTCGCTGGTGATTTTGCTGGTGTTGTTCAATACAATAAAGATAATAGAGATGGAAATCCTGTAACCATTGATGATGTTTGTGGAATAATGTGTAATCAAACAATTGGTGTTCCTGTAACTCGACTTGCTGAAGTAAATAAAATGATTTTGAAGGAAAATAAACAGCAATGCTTTGATTACAAGTATGATAAAATGATTGACCAAATGAAAAATATTTCATGGGATTCAGAAGTATCAGAAGGAGGTCGGCAATGGACATATCAAACATGTACTGAATTTGGATTCTATCAAACATCTGATAAGCCAAATCTTTTATTTGGTGACAAGTTCCCAGCAGATTTCTTTGTAAAGCAATGTACAGATATTTATGGAGATAGTTTCAACTTTGATGCTTTAAATGGTGGCATTGATCGAACCAATATTATTTATGGAGCATTAAAACCTGAAACTACAAATGTTCTCTATATTCACGGTAGTATTGATCCATGGCATGCTTTAGGATTGACGGAAACTAATAAAAATCAACGACAACCTACAATTTATATCCAAGGAACGGCACATTGTGCCAATATGTACGAACCTAATGAAAAGGATTTTCCACAATTGAAACAAGCTAGAGAGGCAATTGTGAAGTACATTGAAGCTCTTCTCCACTAAACACATGACACTGGAATTACTATAATAAAAATTGACTATAAAACTTTTTCTTTTTCAAATTCAGATAGCGCTAGTTGTAACTGTCATAGAAAAATCTCAAAAGTAGGTATTAAAAATCTATATTTTAAGGATTTTATATAAAATTTTATTACATATTTTGAGTTTATTACCTAAACAAGAAATTAAAGCATATTTTAACAAATAAAATTAAATGATGCATAACAGACTGTATATATATTCCAAGGCAATACAATGAATAGTTACTATTTGTAACTTTGAGTCAAATAATCATCTGCAACTTCATTCCAAATTTGGCAAACTTCCTTGTCAGTTTTAGTATACAAATTTCTTAGTAAGTTCCATCCTGCCCCTTGAGTTGTCAGTAAATATTGATTACTTTGATCAAATTTGTGAGAATAGAGTCCAAGAACGAGCGATTGACATAGACGCGCACACACGCAAATCTTAAATTGAAAATATTAATTTAAACTGCATGCTTCAGACATTTTTACGGTAAATACATACCCTAAGTAAATTCATTTCATTTTCTGGTATCAAACGAACCATTTTATAGCCGGCAAGAAAATATCCTCCAGTTTCAATATCTCCAGTAATCAACATCATATATGTAAGAGCGATGGCTATTTCAAATAGAAGGCATGAATATTGAGTATCTCCATAATCGATTACTCCCGCAACTCTGTAATCTCCAGAGGTTGGAATTTTATTGACAAGTACATTTTGTTCATTAAAATCTCCATGAATGATTTGCTTTGGAAACTCATCTATATGATTTAACACTCTTTGCTTAAAGAAATCAATAATGTCTTCAACCATTCCTCGTTTTTCTTCATCGATTACTACGTTCACAAATTCGTCTAGATGTGGCACTGATGAAAGCATCCATAATGTCTTGTGATTTTTGTATCCATCGTGGTTAAAATTCTGTTTATTAATAATTAAATTAGAAAAATTTCTAGAATCTGGAGTAATTTTGAAACCTTTAGGGTACTATCCATCTTTCCAAGAAAAACTCCGGCTTGATAAAATAAATTTGAGCATGATGGTACATCGCAGAGAATTTTACCAGGTATAAACTCATACAATCGAATAATATTTTCGTTTTCAAATGAGTAATAATTTCCATTTACATCTTGAAGTTGACGAGGACATATTATCTTCTGATTATCTATATAATAATACACATATGTATTAGTTATCTATTTTCAATCTTTATCGGATTATGACACTTACTTAAATAAAGTGATAATTCTGTTTGACCTTCAATAAATGCAATTTTTTTCGAATCAAACGAGTTCAAGATTTTTAAAACGTATCCGTCAGCACAAAAATTAATATGAGGATTTTTTATGTTTCTAAATAGACATAGATGCAATGTATTAATTATATAATAAAATTATTTATAGATTGCACTTACTTATCTGCAAAAACTAAGAAATTTTTATCGTCATATGAATTAAGCTCACAAATCTCAAGAACTTTAACTCCGTAAGTTTTCTGTAATATAATTTTGGCTGTGTCTGCATCAAGTTTAGGCTTTATTCTGGTACCTAAAGTAAATTTTTCTGGGTTAAATTGATATGTAAATTTTACACATTTTTGCTTACCAGGTTTTAAAATAGAACTCTCGTCAACGTTCTCCATTTGACTCTCTCAAAAGTTACAACTCGAATGAATGAATTTAATAGGAGAATGTGAAATTGTTTGGTGAGTATAAATGAATTTTAAGTGATAAGAATGATAGATTATCTTATCATTTATGAACCACAGTCAAACACCGAGTATTTCATATTGAATTAAAAAAATGAGCATACGATACGATTGCTAAAATCTCTTTGAATGTGAAAAAAATGCTTTAATAATAATTTAGGGGAAATAGAAAAAAAACAATCACGCTCAATTTATGTTTTACGACAACACTCGTTTATTGGCCCTATTAGCCTTGAACTTAAATTTATAAATATAAATGTATCAATTTGTTGGATGAACTACATATATAGTTTAAAATACATCAATCAAAAGCTAACACAAGAGAAAATAAAGCAAACAGTGATTTTATCTGAGTTGTGAATATTGTTTTAATCTGGTTTATTAAGTATTGTGTGCAGAAATAAAGTCTTAAAATATATTTCTTATAATCAACATTTCTATTTTTCATATCTCTTTCTTCAACTACTAATGACATTATTTCTGAACAGCCAATTATTTTGTCGAAAAACTTCGAGTCTTCTCAATTTCCAAAAATTTTGTTTTGTTTATTTTTTATATTCTTATTGGGATACAAAAATTTAAAGATATTAAATTTTTGCATATAATTTCTATAGGATTTTGTTCACTTTGAAATCGGATTGGAACATCTACTGATGAATTTAGTTCGCACCTTTAACTTTGCAGAAGTGCCATTCGTACATAAATTGTCAATGCTGTAAACATTACTGTTGTCATTATCCTGATCTGAGAGCCAAGGTAAAGTGAAATCTTTTGGTATTAATTTAGGTATCTGTTCGCCAAATGCAGAGATCGGTAAATCATCCGAAATCTGAATAAATTTTATAGTTTTAACATCAGGAAAGAAAGAAGTCAACGTTTTTTGTATTTTATTGTTCTGGCTCATCATTTCAGCATATTCTTCTTTCAAATGGCGCTTCTTCAACCTCTCAATATTTTTCTGTTCTCTTATTCTCTGCTGATCCCATTTTTTTCTCCTTCTCTCATCCGCCTCATATTTTAAATGCCTTTTTAGATATGCTTCATCACTTGTATCTTCAACAGGTATATTTTTAATCTCATTTGTCGGTGAGGGTGTCAAATCTCTTTCTATCCATTTGGGAATTTCTAAATTGACATCACCCTCAAAACTTTTATTATCAATGTCTTCGTTTTCAAAGTTGTATGTTTTCCAATCATTAATGCGATACTCTTTATTTGTCATCAAAAACAAATTTTTATTACTTAGCTTAATGCTTATGGATTCCTGAGAATCCTCAGATCGCTTTTTAATCTGAATTTCATCTTCAGATGTATCAATTGATACTCTTTTCTCCTTAAATTGTAAATTTTCATCTTTATGGCTTCTTTCACTTTTGTTTTTGTTTGCCGGTGCGTTATTATTGATGTTGTTGTTGTTGCTACTGTTGTTTGTATTATTGTTTGAAGCAAAATCTGATTTTTTATTCGATCCTTTCGAATGTTTATACCTTTGCAAGCGTTGCTTTAGACTTTCATTTTCATGAATTAATTTAGCAATTAATTGATCTCGTTCAGACAACTGATTTTGAAGCTCCTCAATCAAGTTTATATTCGATAAAATAAAATTTTTCATTTTTTTCACCGTCTTATCATCGCCAATAAAATTATTATTATTATTACTTTCTGTGTAAGGCAATTTGTCTCTGTTGTTTAATTTATTACAATAAATATGATCCACGTTCTCACTTTTCATAAATTTATCCATTTAATAAAATTAATTTCACAACTTAATAAATATATTTTTGCAAATTTTTGTTTCTCAAATAATAAAACTTTTCAGCTTGCTTGTAACCTCTATAATTCTAATGTCGTCGTTATTTTGTTGTCATTTCTATCCACAATATCCGACACATAAAACTTCTACATAAACAATAGGGGAGAAAACAAGCCTTTATGTAACAGAAATTGTGAATCGTTTGTTGTGTGAGATTTTTTTGTAGATCAACGAAATATTCAATTTTTAAAAAACCGTTATATAATTTTCATTCGGTATTTATTAATATGCGATATTTTTTAATACTGGTTTTATCTATAAAATACTCAATCAAGTTTCCGACACAAAAAAATGATAATTTATCAAGATCACGTCTAAATTTAATCCTTTTTCATTGGTGGAACCCAATCACATTTTTTAGCAAAATCACTCAATTGAGTGCATTCGGGTTTGTTGGGTACAATTTGTGAACCACAATTTTTGTAAATTTGACCATAAACACATCCAATCATCATCATCGGAATTGGACTGCAAGTAGCGCCTGGTGATGGAGGTGGTGAAGGCATTGTTGATGTTTTATTTACACAGTAATTAACTGCAGATTCCGCTGTCTGGTTTATGTTTAATTGATAAGTTAAAATCTCTTAATATAATTTTTTTTAACTTACTGATTTCAATGAACTATCACTTCCAATTAGTTGTGTGACAGCAGCATTAACATCAACTTTCCCATCAACAAATACTTTAAGTTCTTTCATAACACATTCAGTAATGCAGCAAAACATAGGCGGTGGTCCCATTGGTTTTCCATCTTGTGCGGGAGGTGGAGGTGGGTGCTGAAATTGCAAAATTATCTCCGAAATATTTTATGAAATAAATTTTATTTCATTTACCTTCGGAAATTGAGAAGCACATTTTTGGAATACATCCGTTGGAATCATTTGTACCTTCATTTGACAGCAATCACTAAATGTCGCATTTTTGGGCAGATTGAATGGAGCACATGCAGGATCCATATCTGGTGGATGAGCAAAAACCTTTAAACGATAATTAACTGCTGATTAACAATACTTTTATTTAAAAAAAATAATAATGCTTCGTACCATTGCTATGACAGCTACTGCAACAATAATTTGCTTCATGACTCTACAGCGAAAATATCTATCAATGTAGCTTTAGAGCTAGAACTTTTCAAAAAAATTACTGATGTAAATTGGAAAAGTTTTCGAGCATTTTATAGCGAAAACTTTATAATGAAATCGATAGTAATAAAAAGCAGATTACAGTAATTGTGTTTGAATCCGCTGTGAATCAGAAGAAAAAATAATGATAATCTATGACACCTAATAAAATGTTTGAGCATATGGTCAACTTTCAGGGAATTTATGTCATTATTTTGTTAAATGTACCGTAAAATTGAACAACAAAAGCTAGGTTTGGCAATGAAAAACTTAAAATTTGTTTATATTTTCGATATGAATCATAAAATTTGTTAACGCATTTCTATATTCGATTTAAAAATTAGTTGAAGAATTTTGGACTTTGTATATTTTTGCACCATGACTGATTTCCTAACAATTAAGTAAGTATCATTATCGATAATTATCATGACGTTTTGTTTTTGCATATGGAATATTGAATTAAATACCAACGAGTTAAAAGTAAAAGAAAAAACTAGTGATGGACTAAACACTGATGGACTATTTTCGTGAAGCTATTTCGTGAAGCAGAATTAACAGATGTAAACGAAATCGTGAACATCATAAGAAATCTGAAAAATCTCAAAGCTCCGGGACTAGATGAATCAACAACACACTCATCATTAATTCGTGTCTCAAACTCAATCACTTCCCCAAATTTTGGAAACACGTAAAAGTGTTTCGAATACCAAAACCTGGAAAACCAGCAAATGAGTTAAGCAGCTACAGGCCAATAAGTCTACTTAGCTCAGTAAGCAAAAAACTGGAGAGAGTATTGCTGAACAGAATCAACGATCATCTTGAGGATAACAACATCATTCCAAGCCAGCAGCTCGGCTTCCGGACCGGAAGATCAACATCTCATCAGCTCATCAAAGTGATCAAATCAGAAAAAAAACACTTAAACAACAAAAAATCAACAGGCATGATCTTCCTGGATGTAGAAAAAGCATTTGACAGAGTCTGGCATAACGGACTCTTGTACAAAATGCTCAAACTGAGATTTCCACTGCCACTTATAAAAACTGTAAGTTCTTTCCTCAGTGAAAGATCTTTCGCAGTTTTTATTAAAGGTCAGTTCTCAGAAATCAAGGTAATCAAATTCGGAGTGCCACAAGGAGCAGTGCTTTCACCAACTCTCTACAACATCTTCACGTATGATGTTGTAAGAGAGACAACCAACAACATCGGTCTTTTCGCAGATGATACAGCACTGTATCATTCTGCAGAGAACTCGGCCGATATTGTGACACATCTACAGCACACAGGAAGAAAGGTTCAACAATACATGAACAAATGGAAGATCAACCTCAACAAACAGAAGACTCAAGCCTTATTCATCACAAACAGGCACTCCAGGCAACTACCAGGAAATAACATCAAATTTCTCAACGAAAACATCAAATGGGAAACAGAAGCTAAGTATCTGGGAATGGTGATCGACAAGAGAGTGACATTAAAGCCGCATGTGGAGTATGTGAACAATAGGGCTCACACCGCATTAAGACAGCTTTATCCGCTCATTAGCAGGAACTCACAACTCGACGTACGAAACAAACTTCTCATCTACAAGCTAGCCATCAGACCAATATTCACATATGGTTGTCCAGCATTTGGAAGCATGGCAAAAACCCATCTTCAAAAACTTCAAGTACTGCAAAACAAATTCTTGAGAATTGTTCTCAATAAAACAAGATATGAAAGGATCACCGATCTTCATACAGAAGCGAAAATACTGTCCATCGAAGACTACGTCGGAAAGTTGCAAGCGAACTTCAACAGTCGTCTTGCATCTCAAAACACCGAATAAATCAAATGAAATACAAAAGAAAGTAAAATCCGTAAATGAAATCAAAAATTAAGAGACAAAAGGCAAATTGAATGCCTGAAACCTTAAAAAACAAAAAACACAAATTGTATAGAAACATTGAACATACTTAAATTTAAATGTAAATAAATAAAAAATTTAATTTGAAAAAAAAAGCTTTAAGTTGCATTTTAAAACATATGTAGGTATTATAAATGATAAAGAATGCTAATATAGATATAAAACCGATATTTTTTGAAAATAGCCTACTATGATCAAAACCAAAAATGCTTTAAATTGCATTTTAAAATATATCTAGGTACCATAAATGATAAAGAATGCTAATAAAGATAAAAAATCGATATTTTTATTGAAAATAGCCTACTGTGATCGAAACCAAAAATGCTTTAAATTGCATTTTAAAACATATCTAGGTATTATAAATGATAAAGAATGCTAATATAGATATAAAATCGATATTTTTATTGAAAATAGCCTACTGTGATCGAAACCAAAAATGCTTTAAATTGCATTTTAAAACATATCTAGGTATTATAAATGATGAAGAATGCTAATATAGATATAAAATCGATATTTTTATTGAAAATAGCCTACTGTGATCGAAACCAAAAATGCTTTAAATTGCATTTTAAAACATATCTAGGTATTATAAATGATAAAGAATGCTAATATAGATATAAAATCGATATTTTTATTGAAAATAGCCTACTGTGATCGAAACCAAAAATGCTTTAAATTGCATTTTAAAATATATCTAGGTATCATAAATGATAAAGAATGCTAATAAAGATATAACATCGATATTTTCATTGAAAATAGCCTACTGTGATCGAAACCAAAAATGCTTTAAATTGCATTTTAAAACATATCTAGGTATCATAAATGATGAAGAATGCTAATATAGATATAAAATCGACATTTTTTTGAAAATAGCCTACTATAATCAAAACCAAAAATGCTTTATATTGCATTTTAAAACATATCTAGGTATTATAAATGATGAAGAATGCTAATATAGATATAAAATCGATATTTTTTTGAAATTAGCCTACTGTGATCGAAACCAAAAATGCTTTATATTGCATTTTAAAACATATCAATGTATTATAAATGATGAAGAATGCTAATATAGATATAAAATCGATATTTTTTTGAAAATAGCCTACTATGATCGAAACAAAAAATGCTTTAAATTGCATTTTAAAACATATCTAGGTATTATAAATGATGAAAAATGCTAATATAGATATAAAATCGATATTTTTTTGAAAATAGCCTACTGTGATCGAAACCAAAAATGCTTTAAATTGCATTTTAAAACATATCTAGGTATCATAAATGATGAAGAATGCTAATATAGATATAAAATCGACATTTTTTTGAAAATAGCCTACTATAATCAAAACCAAAAATGCTTTATATTGCATTTTAAAACATATCTAGGTATTATAAATGATGAAGAATGCTAATATAGATATAAAATCGATATTTTTTTGAAATTAGCCTACTGTGATCGAAACCAAAAATGCTTTATATTGCATTTTAAAACATATCAATCCAACGACTGCAAACAAGAACTCATTTTCGGAAATAGGTACTTCATTTTCGAACTTGATTTGAATTTAAAATTTCCGTTGAAAATATTTGTTTACATTTCTTAGTTTTTATTGAATTTATAAAATTTCATTTTTTTAAAATAGTCAGAAATTGTGTAATTACTGGTTGTAAAGGAAAGAAAACCAATAAAATACCTTTGTTTGAACTTCCAAAAAGCTCTGTGCATAAAGATAAGTGGATTGAATTTCTTAAATAGCATAATATTGAATATTGCTGTAAAAAAATATTTCTTGTGTATTCTTGAATTTATTTATAGACAGCTTAATTTTTTTAACTTATGTTCTGATCCTTCCTTTAAACAGAAATTCATCAATACAGTAATTGCACAAATTGAAGTCGATTTTGAACATTGTCAAGATACAATTGATAAATTCTTAAAAGTTTTTATTGAATTTAGAGTAAAATTACAATTTCAAAGTCGATTGGTACATAAAAGGAATAATTTTGCTTCAAAAAACAACTATAATAAATATATTTTTATTAATTCCCTAACGATCATTTATTTTTTAAAAAATTTAACAGTTCGAAACAGTTCGAAATTTTTCGAATTTCAGTTTGAATTTTTCGAATCTAACTGAAGTTTTCTTTGTTTGCAGTCGTTGGATATCAATGTATTATAAATGATGAAGAATGCTAATATAGATATAAAATCGATATTTTTTTGAAAATAGCCTACTATGATCGAAACAAAAAATGCTTTAAATTGCATTTTAAAACATATCTAGGTATTATAAATGATGAAAAATGCTAATATAGATATAAAATCGATATTTTTTTGAAAATAGCCTACTGTGATCGAAACCAAAAATGCTTTAAATTGCATTTTAAAACATATCAAGGTATTATAAATGATAAAGAATGCTGAAAAAAGCCTGCTATGATCGAAACCAAAAATGCTTTAAATTGCATTTTAAAACATATCTAGGTATTATAAATGATAAAGAATGCTAATATAGATATAAAATCGATATTTTTTTGAAAATAGCTTACTATGATCGAAACAAAAAATGCTTTAAATTGCATTTTAAAACATATCTAGGTATTATAAATGATGAAGAATGTAATATAGATATAAAATCGATATTTTTTTGAAAATAGCCTACTGTGATCGAAACCAAAAATGCTTTAAATAGCATTTTAAAACATATCTAGGTATTATAAATGATAAAGAATGCTAATATAGATATAAAATTGATATTTTTTTGAAATTAACCCACTATGATCGAAACAAAAAATGCTTTGAATTGCATTTTAAAACATATCTAGGTATCATAAATGATAAAGAATGCTTATGTAGATATAAAATCGATATTTTTTTTTGAAAAAAGCCTACTATGATCAAAACCAAAAATGCTTTATATTGCATTTTAAAACATATCTAGGTATTATAAATGATGAAGAATGCTAATATTGATATAAAATCGATATTTTTTTGAAAAAAGCCTACTATGATCGAAACCAAATATGCTTTAAATTGCATTTTAAACCATATCTAGGTATTATAAATGATAAAGAATGCTTATGTAGATATAAAATCGATATTTTTTTGAAAATAGCCTACTATGATCAAAACCAAAAATGCTTTATATTGCATTTTAAAACATATCTAGGTATTATAAATGATAAAGAATGCTAATATTGATATAAAATCGATATTTTTTTGAA